TGTTAACAATAGAGGGTACTCAATCCTAGCACTGGAATTTTCATTTGTGTGTGTGTTTCTCTTTGTATATGTGCTTCTTGTGCTTTTTCTGTTTGCTTTGTTCTGTTCTTTTTTTTTTTTAATGTTTTTTAAAGAGAGAAAGAGAGAAGGCATGGATTTAGATGGGTGGGAAGGTAGAGAGAATCTGGGAGGAGATGGGGGGGGAACCGTAATCAGAATATATTGTATGAAAAAATCTATTTTCAAAACAAACAAAAAAGTCATATAGGATACTCAAGATGCTAGTCTTGGGTGGAAGATGGAGGGAGTAATTTGGACAGTGGAGGCTGAGAGAATAGCTCCAGGTAGGGACCTAGACTCTCCCCTGCCTTGTGATTAGGGCTGGTTATATTGAGAGAGAAGAGGCTTGAGCAGGAACCTGGAAATGCCCTTCCAGATGGAGCAAGGCAGCACTCTTGTTGGAGATAGGAGCACTTCCACCCTGACAAGCTTGGACAAAGGAAAGTGTGGTCATCTGCTTTGCCAGTTTTGTCTCTGGTTAACAAAGATCAGATTAGCACAGTATGGTAGTAGTAAATGTCACCTGATCTGGCCTGGGATGCTGGACACCAGCTGGTGGAATTGAGTCCAGTGGCTGTTCCTGGAAGGGCAACAGTTAGCAGTTTGGTTTCTTCCCAAGGTACTCCTGGGAGAGACCAAACATTGTTTTCAGTGGTATTTCCCCATGGCTTTACCTGCTAACTTCACTTTTACCTTGAATTACGCCCATTTTATACCCCCTGTTGTTCTTTTTTAAAAAAATGCTGCAAGATCCCCAGTGGCAATAGGCAGCAGAAATGCTGTAGGTCCCAAATGGTGGCGGCAGGCCATGTGGCGGCAGACAGCAGGCCCTGGGAGCAGCCAGTCCCAGGCAGAGACAGCTGCTGGTCCCAGAGCAGTGGTGGCAGCCATGTGGCAGCAGGCAGTGGGACCCAGGCAGAGATGGCTGCTGATCCTTGAGCAATGGCTGGTCCCAGGCAGGGAGACACATGGCGGGCGGGCAGAAGACAGAAACATGGATAGACACAACATGCAGGGTGAGGTTGAATGTTTATTCAGGGGGTTATGGAGGAGGAAGGGTGAAGGGGGGGACAGAGAGAGAGGGGAGAGGGAGAGAGAGAGAGAGAGAGAGAGAGAGAGGAGGAGGAGAAAGAGACAGAGAAGGGGGGAAGAGAAAAGCTTCACTTCTGCCTCTCCGAGAGGAAGATGGAAAAGAGAGCCAGCTCAGGCCGGAAGCTGAAGATCAGCCTGCCTCAGCGGATGGGGAGGGGAATGGGTGTGGCTTGTCTCTTAAAGGGACCAAAACCATAACACCCCCCCCCTTTTCCTTTCTGTAAGTAAAACAGCTCAGTGAGGTTGACATTTACCCTTATCTGGCTCCATATGGATAGGCTGGCCTATTTTGCAGAAATATTTGCTTAGAGCCCTGTGGATTGCTAGAGTCTTGCCTGATACAGTTCTCATTAGTAAGTCAAAAAATGTTTTCCCTGTTGATCTTTCATCACACATTTTCAAGTGATGTTTAATTTTATTTTTGTTGTTTATCTTTAATCGTTATTGGTGTAGAAAATTCCAAAAATATGTACAGAAAATAGTGAAAAGACTCCATGTTCCTGATTCCATTTCTAGCAAGTTGTCAGCAGTCTGCCACTTTTTGCTTAATTTGCCCTTTACTCAACTCTTTTCTGTACTATTTTCTTTTTTTAAGATGTATTTATTTTTATTTATTTATTTATTTATTTATTTATTATGTATACAATGTTCTGCCTTCAATGCGTCCCTACAGGCCAGAAGTTGGCACCAGATCTTATTACAGGTGGTTGTGAAGTACCATGGGTGCTGGGAATTGAACTCAGAACCTCTGGAAGAGCAGTGTTCTTAATTGCCGAGCCATCTCTCCAGCCCCTCTGTACTATTTTCAAGCAAATCTTGGATTTTTCCCATACCAAACAAAGTCTCACTAGCCCAGGCTGACCTTGAACTTGGAATCCTCCTGCCTTAGGCTCCCAAGTGTTAGAATAACACAAGTGTACTGCCGTGCCTGGCCACCAATGATTCTTCAAGAAGAAAAGTATTGTGGAAAAGGCCATTGTTAAACCTCATTCTGAGTTGTTAACCTGGCCTGTACCTTAGCAGAAGCTTGTCCAGGTACCCTGTTATATTGAGTGGTGTTAGGGAATATTATTTTCAGGTGTGTTACTTTGATTTATGCTGCCTTTGATTAACTGTAAAGCCGTGATTCTTTGCCTGTTTAAAACACCCGAAGGTCCCAATAAAGAGGTGAACTGCCAATAGCGAGGCAAAAGCAAGGATAGGTGGGTCTAGCAGACAGAGAATATTAAAAAGAGAAAGAGGAGCAAGAGAACAAGGAGAGAAGGACATCAGAGGCCAGCCATCCAGCCAGTCACGGAGTAAGAAGGAAAGGAAGGTATACAGAAATAGAGAAAGATAAAAAAACCCAGAGGCAAAAGGTAGTTGGGATAATTTAAGCTAAGAAAAGCAGACAAGAAATAAGCTAAGGTAAGGCCGGGCATTCACAACTAAGAATAAGCCTCTGTGTGTGATTTATTTGGGAGCAGGCCTCCCAAAAAAACAAAAGAGTAAAACATCACACAATAGAGTGGATGAGGAGTGTTAAGGCAACCATATGGCCACAGCCCTAGAGTTTCTCTTCCTAAGACTAGAAAGTAAGGATGATTCTTTAATACTGATATTGTTGGCCCAGGTACTTTGTTTCCCACTGACATCCTGTGTCTTTTTTTTTTTTTTTTTTGTTTTTTCGAGACAGGGTTTCTCTGTGGTTTTGGAGCCTGTCCTGGAACTAGCTCTTGTAGACCAGGCTGGTCTCGAACTCACAGAGATTCGCCTGCCTCTGCCTCCTGAGTGCTGGGATTAAAGGCGTGTGCCACCACCGCCCGGCTGACATCCTGTGTTTTATTTTATTTTATTTAACTTTTTTTATGTGCCTTGGTGTGAAGGTGTCAGATCCCCTGGAACTTGAGTTGCTATGTGGATGCTAAGAATCGAACCCGGGTCCTCTGGAAGAACAGCCAGCGTTCTTACCTGCTGACCCATCTTTCTAGCCCTTGACCCCCTGAATCTTATGATGCAGGGTGTACCTTCAGACTTGAGGCCTCAAAAAGTCAGAGGGCCAGTAGATAAGCCATAATAAGCTAGAGAAATCTTCCTCTGGAGATGAGTCCATGAGCCTGAGTGAACTATACAGCAAAGATCAGGCTGTGAACAGGAATTCAAATGCTTTAACATCCATGTCTTATTTTTATAATTGCTAGATTTTTTAGCAGTGTCTCCTTCTGTTTTATATATGACACCATTAAATGACTGAAGTAAGCAAAAAAGACAAATGATTCTTATACTGCTGTGTTCTCTTTGGAATGTGACATTCTTGCTTTTGCTGGCTGCATAGCTTTGGGGCTGAGTTGGAGTTTCTGGACCCTAATTGCACCTTGCCTGGTTTGTTTCAGTTCAGTGAGTGTTGTGTGCCTTTATTTCCTGTCTCTTGCATCAGTCTGTTTGTGAGAGTGTACTGAGAGGTGATTAATGGGAAAGATAAACACGTGCTTATGGGCTGAAAGTTCACCCTGTTTCCTGCGGTGTCTTTGGTTTAGTGAATTGTTTGTTTGCTGCCTGCAGACCACATGTGGTGTATGTCTCTGTTGTGAGCATCGGCTGCTCTTAAAGCAGAGTCAATATATGATAAGGCTCGAAAGACTTTACTTCACAGGAGAATCCCAGGTGACAAAAAGATCAGACAGCTGTCTGTCATCGTGTGCCTCTAGAATCTAGAACTCTGCATACAAAATCTTGTTTGACCATTTCCCTCCTTTTTACCCTAGAGTGTACAACTTGATTGTAGCTGTGGGGATTTGCTGGCAGTACTGCCTCATTGAGCAGCATCTCTGTGTGTTCAAGGCCAGCCAGAGCTGCACAGTCAAACCCTGTCTCAAAACAAAATTAACAACAAAGTTTTTTATTAGGACTTTTTAAGAGGCCTTAATTTTCTGCAAAACAGATAATTTAACCTTATCAAAGAATAGTTTCTTATTTATAATGCTACTGTGAACATCTTTGTATAAATAGCTCTTCCTGTATTTTATACTATTTTAAGCTAGATTTTACGGAGATACAGTTAGTGGATCAAAGGGAATCAACACTTGAAGTCTATAGGATTGCCACAAGCTGCTATGGGGTGTTTACTATCCAGTTAGCATCAGTTATGAATCCAAAATATGGCATTTCCTATTGGAAATATCTAGGTATCTGACAACAGACTATTAATTTCAGATTTTAAAAGTTCTTCTGGTAGGTGGACTGGAGAGATGGCTCAGGAGTTAAGAGCATTGACTACTCTTCCCGAGGACCTGGCTTCAATACCCAACATACATATGGCGATCCACAACTATCTGTAACTCCACTGCCAGGGCTCCAATATCCTCTTCTGGCCTCTGCAGGTACTTTTTATGCATGTGGCACAGAGACATACATGAAGGCAAACCACTCATACATATAAAAAAATAAACATTTTATTAGACTTATTTATTATTTTATTTTGTATGTGAATGTTTTGCCTGTGTATGTATACATACCATGCATGCTTGGTGTCCTCAGAGGCCAGAAGAGAGCATCAGAGCCCCTGGAATTGGAATTATGGATGGCTGTGAACCACCATGTGGGTGCTAGGAGTCCAACTTGACTCCTCTACAAGAACAACAAATGCTTTTAACCTCTGTGCCATCTCTCCAACCCCCTCTACCTAGTCTTAGTAAGAATTGTAAGCACTTAACCTTTGTGCCTCTGTGTGTTTCCTGAAGTGTCCTCTCATACTTAGCTAGTACAGGCTAGCCTTAGTTGTTGGTACAGCTTGAAAGTTGGTCCTGGGATGCCTCCAGGGCCTGACATTTCAGAGCCCAGCTGATGATGCTTCTTGTTCTTTTGCACAGATCCAGTCCTGCAGGTCCCAACACACGTGGAAGAGTAAGTTTCCTCATCTCTTTAGTATTTCCTTTTAATTTATCACCTTATTTAGTTGCCAGGCACAATACATGCACAAATTTAAAGTGTAGCAAGAATTTTTGAGATGTAGAAATTTTCTAGGTGGGTGATTGTTAGAAACCTCTGGTCCTTGGGTGAGGAGGGCAAGTAATATTAAAACGAGTTGTTTGAAGTGGAATTTTTTTCTGAGACAAGGTCTCACTATGTAGTTCTGATTGTCCTAGAGCTTGCTGTGTAGACCAAGCTGTCATCAAACTCACTGAGATCTGTCTGCCTCTGCCTCATGAATGCTGTGTTTAAAAGCATGCACCACTATGCCTGGCAACTTGAGATGGAACTTAAATTGAGTTTTGAACTAAATTCCAAAGTCAGAATTTCTCTTTTTTAAAATTTATTTATTTATTCATTCTCTTAAATATACATGTGCGTGTGTGGTTGTTTTGATTGCATGCATGTCTGGGTATCACGTGTGTTGCCTGGTGCCCATGGAGGCCAGAAAAGGGCCTCAGATCTCCTAGGACTTGAGTTACAGATAGTTGTGAGACACTATGTGGGTGCTGAGAATTGAGCCTGGGTCCTCTAGAAGAGTAGACAGCTCTTAACTGCTGAACCATTTTCTCCCTGGCTCTCTCTCTGTTCACTGTATCACATCACAGAGAGGAAAGGGGAATGTAACCTGCTCTTAGAGTGTGTGGTGTTCAAGGGAACATTGTTGCCTGTAAGAGCCTGAAATGATGGACAACCCAAATTGAAAAGAGATTTGATAAAGAATTCTTCATGGCACTAATTATAATTCCATCTTTAGCACATTCACCTGCAGAGGATCAATTTGAGTCTTCTTGTGGGATGTTACTAACAGACCTTGCTCTGTATCCCTGACAGATTCTCTTATGTTAGGCTTTCAGAGTTTGTTTTTATTGCTATACTTTAAGAAATAAAAGTATGTTGAAAATGACAAGTGGATATGAGCAACACTAATTAGATTTTGTAGATTGTTTTTTAAAAATTAAAAAGAGGGGCTGGAGAGATAGTTCAGCAGTTAAGAGCTCTTGTTGCTTCTACAGAGGATTTGGTTCAGTTTCAGCACTCACATGGTAGCTCACAACCATCCCTAACCAGGAGAGCCAAAAGGCATATATGTGGTACATATACATAGCAGGGGAGGTGTAGGGATAGTTAGAAGGGAGTGTGGAAAATGGATACGATCAAAACATTACATATGTATTTATGAAATTTGAAGAATAAATAAAACTACAGATTTGGCCTGTTTATACATGAAACTGTTGCTGCTAAATATTAATTGTTGATGTTCACATACAGTAGATATAGAAGTTGAAAGCAGACTTGCTAAGCTCTTTTCATTTATTTCATTGTCATCCACAGTGCCCTGACCAAAAGACAATTTACTTCTGTGGCTTCATATGACTTTTCTTTTTCTTTTTTTTTAATATTTATTTATTTATTATGTGTACAATATTCTGTGTGTATGCCTGCAGGCCAGAAGAGGGCACCAGACCTCATTACAGATGGTTGTGAGCCACCATGTGGTTGCTGGGAATTGAACTCAGGACCTTTGGAAGAGCAGGCAATGCTCTTAACCTCTGAGCCATCTCTCCAGCTCTTCATATGACTTTTCTTTCTCAGGTTATTTTTCTCCTCTCTGTCTGTCTGTCTCTCTCTCTCTCTCTCTCTCTCTCTCTGTCTCTCCCTGTCTGTTTCTCTCTCTCATCCTCCATGTCATGATTTTACATGAATTTGATCATTATGGTCTTTTGTTCTGTGTCCTGAGCTATAGTTTATCATTGATGGTTATTATTTAATTTCTAGGCCTGCTTTCCTCCCAGATCCCAATGATGGCAGTCTGTACACACTTGGAGGCAAGAACAACGAAGGCCTTACGGTGAGAATATTTAGCTTCTTTGTATACTCTGGATTCTTAACTAAGTCCTTATGTGCACCTGCAAGTGAGACCACCTAGGAGCTTCATACAAATTGCTGGGGATTCTGATTCAGATCATCTGGTATGGGGCATGGGCATCAGTGCCTGTTTAGAGCTTTCTAAATGAGCTTTAAAAAAAAAATTTTTTTTTGAGGCCAGGCAGTGGTGGCACACGCCTTTAATTCCAACACTTTGGGAGGCCGAGGCAGGAGGATCTCAGTGAGTTTGAGGTCAGCCTCATCTACAAAGTTAGTTCCAGGACAGTTAGGACTGTTACACAGAGAAACCCTGTCTCAAAAAAACAAAACAAAACAAAATTGAGCCAGATGGTGTTGGCGCATGTCTCTAATTCCAGTACTTGGGAGGCAGAAGCAGGCAGATCTCATTGAGTTTCGGGACAGCCAGGACTGTTGCACAGAGAAAGCTTGTCTCAAAGACAACAACAACAAAAGGAATGTACTTTTAAATACTGTTTACTGGGCCAGTGAGTTGACTCTGGGTAGGGCACTTCCAGGGTGGCTCTCCAGGGCTCACATGGTAGAAGGAGAGAACTGACTCCTATAAGTTGTTCTCTGGGCCTCCACATATGTGTTGTGGCATGCATTCAGTCCCCCTTACAGAACACATAGATGAATAAATTCATAAAAATATTAAAAGATTTCTCCACCCCTCTCATTTCAGAAAGATAAGCTTTCTTTTTAGCAGAAGCATGTGATAGTCTACTGCCATCTCCACTTGGGATTCTAGATCAGTAACTCTCAACTTTTTCTACACATTGTAATAATAACCTGAGGCATGCTGAAAAAAAATATTGAGCCTATGGGGCTAAAGAGATGACTCAGCTATAAGGTCTCTTCTAGGAGATCTAGGTTCAGTTCCCAGCACCTACACAGCAGCTCACAACCATCTGTTACTCCAGTTCCAGGGCATCTGACACCTTTTTCTGTCCACCTTGGGTTCTGCATACATGTGATACACAGACACAATTTAGGCAAATCCTTATACACATAAAAATAAATGAAATATATTTTTTAAAATGTTTTAAAAGACATTCTGAGCCTCTTTTAATAAATAGTGTAAGTCTTGGGGTGGGAATGTGGTTCAGTAGTAAAAACACTTGCCTGATACAGGCCTCTGGGTTTGCTCTCCAGCACAAGGTAGTGAAAATACAAATAGATCAGTGGGGTATCCATGTAGAAATAAGAGATCTTGATTAAATCCATCCACATAAAAATCAGTTTCAGACAAATCACATATTAATAAATGTGAGATGCAAGATAATAAAGCTTTAGGAGTAAGTACTAGAAGAACTTCATGGTCTTAGAATATGTCATAATTTTAAAACATTTTTATTACACTTATTTGTGTGTGTGTGTGTGTGTGTGTACACCCACTCATTCCACAATGAGTGTATAAGTAAAGATCAGAGGAGGATACCATTTCACCAGCCCATAATGATTTCTTAAATAGGATACTTTTAAATATACCAGCCATAAATTTAGGTAAAGGTTGATACATTGGTTAGAATAAAATTGAGAGCTTTATTTTTTCCTGAAGAAAGGAGGCCACAAAATATTGTAGTCCACACACCCAACATTTGGAAAACAGAAAAAAAAAATCCATATTTAGAAAAGAAAAACAACTCCTATAGGGGCCAAGTTCAATCCCCAGCACTGCAAAAACTGGATATGGGGGACACATGTCTCTAATCCCAGCACTCAAGAGGTGAAGACTGGAGGATCAGAAGTTGAAGGTCATCCTCAGGTACATAGGGAGTTTGAGAACAGTCTGAATTACATGAGACAATCTCAAATAACCAACCAGAAGAATTCCTGTGTGTAATTAGAAAAAGACAGGCATAGTGGTGCACACCTTTCATCCCAGCACAGAGGCAGAGGCAGGCAGGTCTCTGTAAATTTGATGCCAATATGGGCTACATAGTGGGTTGCAGACCAGCCAGACTCTCAAAACACCAGAAAAGAAAAAGACTAGAGAAAAGGGGAACTGGGATTCGTATGTAAAATGAGAAAATATTGTTTTAAAAAAATAAATAAAAGAAGAAAAGATGAACCAATAGAAAGATAGAAGAATTGTTCAAATGGTGAATAAATGCATGAAAGGTGTCATTAGGGAAATACAATTGAAATCACAATACCACTCCTACCCAGTGTGCATATAATGTCTGGAATATCTAGCCAAAGAAAGAGAGACCTTGTGTTTGTGGAGATGCCAGTAGCCAGAGCTCTGTCCACTGGGAGATGCAGGCAGTACAACTGGCTCAGCAGCATATGTGGCAGAACCTACAACCCAGTAACTCCCAGGCATGGGCCCAAGGGAAGTGTGTGAGTATGTTCTCCCGAAAGCCAAAAGACCTTGTGTAGCATGTCTCTACTTCTGTGCAAAGACCAGGACCAAAAACAACTTGGGAAGGACAGTGTTTGTTTCATCTCAGCAACTCTCAGGTCACACCCTGTAACTAAGGAAAGTCACAGCAGGAACTCCAGGTGTGGGAACTGAAGCAGAAATCATGCAGGAATGCAACTTACTGGTTTGTACCTCCTGGCTTGCTGTTTGCTTTCCTGTACACTTCAGGACCACATGTTCAGGGATGGCACCACCCACAGTGGGCAGAACCCTTCCATATTAATCATCAACCAAGAAAATGTCCCACAGACTTTGCCTATAGAGCAATCTGGTGGGGGTAATTTCTCAGTTGAGTTTCCCTTCTGAAATGACTCCAGCCCATGTCAGGTTGACAATACAACAACCAGGACAATTATTTATTCAATCATACTGCTTATTGTATGCAAAATATAGAGTCTAGCTAAATACATCAATAGTAGAATGGATAAATTATGAGATAGTTGTTCAGTTGAATGTTCAGCTGCAAGAGCCAACAGTCTACAAGTGCATTCAACATGGATCTATCTATCAAATATAACACTAAGTAAAATATGACAGAACAGGCCACATACTGAAGGATTCATTTATATAAATCTCAAAACCAAGAAAAACTACATTCTGTTGATTTTGGAGTAAACATAATAGTTACCCAAGAGAGTTAATAATGACAGAAGGCCTAGAGGGACTTCTAGAGAGCTAGAATGATATGGATGTTAGTAGCAGATATGTTGACTTGATGCACATTACTGAGCTATGCTTATGTGTGCCATTCTGGTTGCATGTAATACTTTACAAGGAAGTTTTGAAAGACTTCATATGATTCTAAGGTGCAGCCAAGGATGAAAACCCCTGGTCTAGACCCTTGAGTGGACTCTCGTGGGCTCTCAAATGTATATTTTAAAATTAGATTTCGAGCACCTGGGGCAGATACAGAAAGAGAAAGGCAAGACTAGGGGTGGAGCTGCATGCACTTCACCCTCCACATGTCTCTGCATTGGTTTCTCTCCACATCACGTAAAACATACCTGTGTTTTAAGCATTTTGTTTGCTAGATGTATTGTGGAGTGTTTGGGATAAATCACTTCATTTGAACATCTTGTTAACCTATCTATGACTGTTGTCCCCACGTTAGAGGTATAGAAACTGAACCTGGACAAGACAAAGAATGTACAAAGACCAAAGCTCCAGGATTGGTGTTTGTACTTAAAGAGCTGTGCTTTTTCAAGGATGCGCTCTCAGCTGTGATAGTATCTGTCTTGGAGCACAAGATTCCAGAGTGATTCCAAAAGCATCTGGCAAAACTCTAGTAGATATTACTCCATCTTGCCGTCATTTTCCTTTTTCTAAGATTTAGTTTGAATTTTGGAATGATGAGAAAATCCAAATAGTTAATTAATATCTATGTCTCTGTTTATTTTTTGTTTTTCAAGAATGAGTTTCTCTGTGTAGCCTTGTCTGTCCTAGAGCTTGCTTTGTAGACCAGGCTGGCTTTGAACTCGAGATCTACATGCCTCTGCCTCCTGAGTGCTGGAATTAAAGGCTTGTGCCACCATGCTGGGCCAGCTCTGTTTATCAATACTACTAAAAAATCTTTTATTCCTTGGAGAAAAGGTGACAGTGTAGTAGAAGCCTAACAGCAGGTACCTGCAGTTTCAGGGCCTGTTCCAAAAATAAAGTTCACCGAAACAAGCAGTGGCCAAAAGGGCTGCTCAGAGGTCAGCTGTGGGCCCAGAAGAGGCAGTTTTATGATGAAATGTGTTGAAACATTGGGAGTTCTTGGAGTTTCTTTTCCTGGCACCTACCATAACTTCCTTTTTATAACCCAAAGGCTCTGTTTTCAGTAGAGAATTACTTACTTAGTAAATGAAATACTAAAACCCAGACCTTTGTGTTGTCCATGTAACCATTCTCCTTTCCTTGAGCCTTGACTGTCTTCTAAGTTGCTTCTTTTCAGCATTAATGTCATGATCCTCCCATGGTAAAAGTCATTGTCATTCTACCTAGCTTGGATATCTTTGGGTCAGTTTTTGAAGACAGATTTTTTTTTTTTTTTTTTTTTTTTTGGTTTTTCGAGACAGGGTTTCTCTGTAGCTTTGGAGCCTGTCCTGGAACTAGCTCTTGTAGACCAGGCTAGTCTCGAACTCACAGAGATCCGCCTACCTCTGCCTCCCTAGTGCTGGGATTAAAGGCGTGTGCCACCATCGCCCGGCTGAAGACATTTTTTATTTTTATTTTTATTTTTGGTTTTTTTGAGACAGGGTTTCTCTGTAGCTTTGGAGCCTGTCCTGGAACTAGCTCTTGTAGACCAGGCTAGCCTCGAACTCACAGAGGTCTGTCTGCCTCTGCCTCCCGAGTGCTGGGATTAAAGGCGTGCGCCACCACTGCCCAGCTACTCTCCACATTTTTGTAATCTTCTAGAAAAGATTTATGGAACCCTCAGGGAATACCTGGACAGGAAACCTGAGGGACCTGTGCATCCTGTGTCAAATGAGTTGGTGTACAGAGTTCAGAGACCAGAGAGCCTAGAGGCTGTTGGAAGTAGATGTGGAAGCCCAGGACCTCCTCCTTAGGTTCCAATTAGAAGCCTCCATCTGCAGTGTGCTTCTCTGTTTTTAGAAGAACTGGGTAACAAACAGCATGCTTGGTAGAATTACAGCAATTTCACAAGACTTGGTTAACTTATTTTTTTACTTTTTTTTTTTTTTTTTTTAAAGAAACTCCCCTTTACCATCCCAGAATTGGTTCAGGCATCCCCATGCCGAAGTTCAGATGGAATCCTCTACATGGGTAAGAGTTCCCATTTTCTATTTTCTTTTTAAAAAAGAGCTCTCCCCTTCTGAGGAAGAATTGACGTCATTAATATGGTTATTCATTTAACAAGCTTTTAGCTGCTGGGTTGGCCTACTGCTGTTATTTCATGATTGCAACATACCTAGCTGCAAATGAATAAAATTAAATTGAGTACAATAGTCTGAGCTAAGGAAGGGAAGCCAGGTCCTGCCTATTAATTATAGGGCTTTCCTAGTATTTCCTGCTAGCAGAATATTTGGTAGAAGCAGCACTTAGCAGCTTTACTAGATAAGCTGTCTTCATACCTGTGGGGTCATAGCTTCCAAATCATCAGGTCACTTGCTTTTCTTTAGCACATTGCTGCCAAAATGTCAATAAAGATGCATTTGTAGCACAAAGGAGAACTGTATTTATCTTGAAATTCTAGTAGCAATAATAGCCTGTGTTTATATAGTGGCTTTCTTTTTGAGGAACTGAAAGTGCTTATTGCCTATTCATGCCTCAGGAGATCTATGTACATTTTCAAGTCTCAAATGCAGGCCAGTTTTTTAAGTTTTGCTAGGGACACTCCTGCATCCTTGTAGGAACCTTTTAGAATGAGGAATAGATTCATAGGAAATGGCCAACAAACCTTCCTTCTGCTGGGCCATGCCCTGGGCCCATATGACCATCTTTTGATTGTATCATTGTTCTCTATTTGTCTTCCAGCAATTCATCATATGTGATAAACTTAGGGTATTGTGTTTCCACCATGTTTGTTCCATGTCTTAAGTGAGTTCACTGAGTATATTTATGAGCATGATAGTTACTCAATCCATTCCTCATAGCTATAGGTAGATTATACAGACTGCAGTGGCCCTTGAAGTAACCAGATGTGCGTCACATAGATGGAAGGTATTAATGGTCATGGTTATCTGTATATAATTTATTCTCTATATTCAAATCTTTTTCATTTTAAGACCTTGTTGTTGAGAACGGTTAGAATCCACAAACAAGTTGTACCTGTGTGGAATCTAGTGTGTTACATCTGTTACAGCTAAGTATAGCCTTAACAAATTCTGGTACCCTGTGCCCTTCTCTGGCATCTCTGTGTTCTGCTTCCATGGGAACGTGAATGTAGGAAACATCTGTTAAAGTAGGAAAACGTAAATGTCCAGAGGCATGGCTTACAGAATAGAAATGCACACATTATAGTTGACGGTGTTGGCCTTCAGATACACCACACCATCTGTACTTTAGATACATATACTAAATGTTTCTAAAAAGCGTTTATGTGGCTGTGCTGTCTGCGTGTTCATAATCAGCTGACCAAGGCAAGAGGTATAACTTGTGACCTGGCAATAGTTTACTGGCTAGAAACAAAGGGGGAAATAACTTTAGCCTCTTTAGCATCAGGTTACAGCAACTCTGCTGACTAGTCACAGGTACTAGCTAATTATAGTTATGTGCTGCTTCACATGTGTGCTAATTGGTAATTGGTAGGGATGTTGAGGAATAAGTATCATAGTTACCAGGAGAAGAACCCCTAGGTGTGCTTATATTTATATAGATCTTCATTTGCGGGGAAAGGATAAGCAAGATTTATCAATTTTTTTAAAAGCTTATCTATCTATCTATCTATCTATCTATCTATTTTGGGTTTTTTAAAACAGGGTTTCTCTGTAGCTTTGGGACCTGTCCTGAAACTAGTTCTTGTAGAACCAGGCTGGCCTCAAACACATAGAGATCCGCCTGCCTCTGCCTCCCTAGTGCTTGGACTAAAGGCGTGCGCCACCACCACCCGACTAAGATTTTTTATATTTAAGATAGTTATCCAAAGCAATAAAACCCAACTTGAAAGTTAAGAGAACTTTTTCATATTATAATTAGATTATAAATCTTAGAGAAATGTTTATGTTGGGTTTAGGTTATTAAATTAGTATAGAACTCAGCGGCCCAAAGAGTTATTAAGTTCACATTGCCAGGCTGGAGAGATGGCTCAGTGGTTAAGAGCACTAACTGCTCTTCCAGAGGAAGGTTCCAAGTTCAATTCCTAGCACCCACATGACAGCTAACAACTGTTTGTAACTCCAGTTCCAGAGGATCTAATACCTTCACACCAATGTACTTAAATTAAGTAAATTTTAAAAAAAAGTTCACATTGCCATTTATTTTGTCACTTCCAAAGCACTATAGAAAGATCTCCAACTTCCTAGGGATTTCAGGCCTATTTCCCAGCACAGAGAGGATCTTGAATAGTTAAAACTGCTACTTTGTTGATGCTGTTTATTTCCGCTTAGGAAGGGTATTAACAGTGTGTTCACTAACATTCCAGGTAAAAAGCAGGATATTTGGTATGTCATCGACCTTCTGACTGGAGAAAAGCAGCAGACCTTATCATCGGCCTTTGCAGATAGTCTCTGCCCATCCACCTCCCTGCTGTATCTTGGACGGACAGGTAAGAAATGAGTCTTTGTTAAACAACCTGCCTGTTTCTAGAGTCAGTGGGACAAAACTACACCGACCTCTGGTACTGGATTTGTTCTCCAAAAAGTGGCCAGAGTTTCCCTCTCCAAGCAGCCAGATTTCTCAGACTCTTGAGACCCCAGGGAATGTAGTCTAGACTACCCTGAGCCCCATCATGCAGCTGCTGCACTTCCCTACTTGAAATGTTTTCAACTGGGTACGCTACCTACTGCTCTCAGAATAGCAGTGCTGTTTTTAAGGACTCACAATGGAATGGCTTTCTCTACCAGGTGTGCCTGGTTTTGCTCTTCTGGCACATAAATCTCCCTTTTTCCACAGTACTGCTCAAAAGTTCCCTCCTTTGCAAAGCTATTTTCCCAGCCTTCAAGCTCCCACCTTGTTCAGGAATGTTCCATTTTACTCTTCTATTCTCAGCCGACAGGCCTGTTACAGCAGCCATCCTCCCCTGTAAAAATCAAGTGTCCTCATTTCCAGCTGTCGGGACTACTTTTTATCAAGTAAAGCCTAGCTTCACACAGGTGTAAACACTATGGGTCTCCAGTAGAATTGGGGTAATGGAGGAGTTTGGACAAGTTTTGGCTTTAAATGGAATGTGTGTTCTTAGTCCATAAAGCCACTATTTCCATTATCTATTGCCATGTAATAAGCTGCCTAACCTAGTATCTTAAAGTATGACCATTTTATTGTTCCTAATTCTTTGACTAAGGAATTAGGAAGAGCTCCACACAGAAATTCATCTCTGTTCTTCATACTGGGATGACTCATGTCTGGAATCTTGGTTCAGCTCCATGTAAACTTCCCCCACACATCCATATGGAAAGCCTGGACTTCCTGACATGGTTGCTTCTTGGGCAAATGTGAATGTTAGATTGCCTCATAAGGTCTGAACTTGGAATTCCCACAGCCTTACTTCTACTTCAGTCATCAATCGAAGTAGGTTATTAGGCAGGTCCGGAGCCCAGGGTGGAGACAAAGACTCACCCTCTTGATAGAAAAAGTGGCTTGCATATTACAGGAAAGATGTGATGATGATCCTCTGTTCAGCATTCTTACATAGCCTTCCCTCTGGCTGCAGTAGTGTGAACTCTTCCACATACAAAATACATTCACCCCCTAGCAAGATCCCCCAAATCCTATCATAGCATTGGTCTCAGAATCCATTGTCTGGGGATCTGCATCAGGCATGATGGCAGATGAGGATCTCTGATCTGGAGACTGAGCATGGTGACCCACACCTGTAATCCTAACATGTGGGAAGTAAAGGCAGGAGGATCAGGAATGCAGTGCTAGCCTTGGCTGCATGTGGCCAGCCTGAGCTATATGAAACCCTATCTTAACAAACAAATGAGGGGCATAGGGAGGAAGAGTTCTCGCTCTTGTGCCTTTCCCTCCATTTGCGTGATGCACAGTGATGAGACAAGGTGGCTGTAATAAACATTCCCATTCAAAAAGAGGTGAGCAAAGGGTAGAGGATGTGACTCAGTGATAGAGAGATTGCCTAGCATGTATAGAGTTCTGGGTTTAAGCCTGAACTCTGAGAGGAAAACTAGCCAAAAAAAAAAAAAAAAAAAAAAAAAGGTGCTGGTCCTTAGTAATTCTGAAATCCAACCAGGCATTTGTTTTCAGGTTCTCCTACCCTGAGGTACAGAAAACTCCTTGTGGAACCAACTTTTACTCTCAGACATTGGTTCCTTACTGTATTGTTCTCAGTGGCTCTTGATTCTATCCTTTGAAAGAAGTGCTTCCTTTTTCATCAGAAATGGCTAGTTTAGGGGCTGGAGAGATGGCTCAGCAGTTAGGAACACTGGAGGTTCCTCTAGAGGACCTTGCTTCAATTCCCAGCATCCATATGGTGGCTTACAACTGTAGCATTAATCTTAGCAGACCAAATTTCTTTTTTTGTCTTCCTCAGAACTGCACACATATAATGTACAGATGTCAAGCACACATGCACCTAGAAGAAAAATGAATAAGCATATATATTTTTAATTTTAAAAGAAAAAGAAATGCCTTTTACAGTTTTCTCATTCTGTTTTTTATTGAAAGTAGGGAGTCTGGAGTCCACCCCCTTATATTATCTGATTATTGTACTAATATTACTCCTTTAAAAACTTGGTGGGTTTCCCATGTGTCAAATTGTAGTTAGTCCCTTAGATAAAGGCCCTATCACAACTGTCTGCTTGAGATTGTGGGAGTACCCTGGCCAGCATTCTTATGACTAGCTAGTAGAGGGGTTTCCAAGGTATCATCTTAAATCTTTCTTAGGTCTCTAAGAAGGGTTTTATAGGCTCACCTGAGTTTGATTTTAACCTTGACCTGGGACCTTTCTCCTCCCTGCTGGTAACTCTGAACTTCCTTTTTATTTTACTTATTTGTTTCTTTTGGTGTTTGTTTTTTCAAGACAGGGTTTCTCTGTGTAACCCTGGCTGTCCTAGAACTAATTTTGTAGACCAGCCTGGCCTTGAACTCACAGAGATCCACCTGCCTCTGCTTCCTAAGTGCTGGGGGCTAGAACTTCCTTTTCAGCCTTTGGTTTTTTGAGACAGGGCTTCTCTGTAGCTTTGGAGCCTGTCCTGAAACTAGCTCTATAGACCAGGCTGGCCTCAAACTCACAGAGATCCACCTGCCTCTGCCTCCTGAGTGCTGGAATTAAAGGCATGCACCACCACCATCTTTTTTTTTTTTATTGAGGAAAGAAGAAAAAAAAAAACATAAACAAAAAAACAAGTTTCCACCTCCTCCCAGCCTCCCATTTCCCTCCCCCTCCTCCCACCCTTCTCCCCCTCCCCCCACTCCTCTCCCCCTCCCTTTCCAGTCCACAGAGCAGTCCGGGTTCCCTGCCCTGTGGTAAGTCCTAGGTCCTCCCCCCTCCGTCCATATCTAGGAAGGTGAACATCTAAACTGGCTAGGCTCCCACAAAGCCAGCACATTAAGTAGGATCAAAACCCCGTGCCATTGTCCTTGGTGTCTCATCAGCCCTCATTGTTCGCCATGTTCAGAGAGTCCGGTTTTATCCCATGCTTTTTCGGTCACAGTCCAGCTGGCCTTGGTGAGCTCCCCGTAGATCAGCTCCACTCTCTCAGTGGGTGGGTGCACGCCTCGTGGTCCCGACTTCTTTGCTCATGTTCTCCCTCCTTCTGCTCCTCATTGGGACCTTGGGAGCTCAGTCCAGTGCTCCTGTGTGGGTCTCTGTCTCTATCTCTATCCATCACCAGATGAAGATTCTATGATGATATGCAAGATATTCGTCAGTATTGCTCTAGGATAGGGTCATTTCAGGTTCCCAATCCTCAGCTGCCCAAGGAACTAACTGGGAACCTCATCTTGGGCACTTGGGAGCCCCTCTAGGGTCAAGTCTCTTGCCCACCCTAAAGTGGCTCCCTTAACTAAGAATTGTGGTTCTGTGCTCCCCTATCCACCTTTCCTTTATCCCAATTCTCCTGTTTCCCCAGGTCCCCCCTCCTTCCCTTCTACCTTTTCTCTCCCCATCTCCCCTTACCCCCATCCCACCCCATCCCCAAGATCCCATTTTCTCCCCAGCAATTTGGTCTACTTCCCTTAGCCAAGAGGATAACCATATGTTTTTCCTTCCCTTCTGGGTGGTGGTGACTTTCTCTATCTTCTAAGTTACTGCAAGCAGTAGCCTTATAATTTGTCTACTCTATAAGCTCATGACTAGGCTACCCCTTTTTACCTTCTCACAGTGGTTTCCTCACTGTTCTCTGGAGTTGTGTAACACTTCTCTTGTCACCCTTCCACCTCCCATCACCTGGTCCCAAAGTCGGTGCCAGGTGTCTTAGGTTTCTGTTATGGTGCCATCCCACTTCTAGGTACCCATTTCTAATTTCACCTATGTATTACTCCATAATAAAGAACCCTGTAACTTAGTGGATAAAACAGCCATTGCACAGCTAAGGAGTCTGTGAACTGTGGGTTTCAGAGCATAGCATGTGTTTGGTACTTCAGTCCTCCACATGGTCTTTCCCTTCCACACGAATAATCTTGATGCAATTTAGTGAAAACTTTCTTGTTGTAACTGTATTACATCTTAGTAAGTTGTACAGCCCCCTCATGGTACTGATTAATCTGTATTTTCCAGAATACACCATCACCATGTATGACACCAAGACCCGAGAGCTCCGTTGGAATGCCACCTATTTTGACTATGCAGCCTCACTGCCCGAGGATGACGTGGACTACAGTAAGTGTACCCGATGAAAGGACACTCTCAAGGTTGGGCTGGCACCTTCCACATATAGAATGGTCTCCAGAAAGCAGAATTTTTTTTTAACTCTTCATCACCAAGTTCTGGATTTTTTTATAGGCTTGAAGTGGTGATAGCTTTAGCTAGAGAAAAGGGAAGGCACATATTTTGAGTCCCTATGTATCACAGAAGGAATTTACTACCAGCCCATGGATAATAGAATTAAACATTAGCATGTGTTATCCATAACCCCATCAAGAAGGCCACTCTAGGAGACTGAAGAGATGGCTCAGAGCACTTGTTGCTCTTCCAGAGGACCTGAATTCAGTTCCCAGTATATGGTGACTCATAACTGCCTGTAACTCCAGTTCCAAGAGATCAAATTCCTTCTTCTAGCTTCCACAGACACCAGACATACAAGTTTATATGTGTGTGTGTGTGTGTGTGTGTGTGTGTGTGTGTGTGTTACACATAGATACATTCATGCAGGTATTCACTTGTACTCATAAAACAAATAAATCTTATAAATCTTGTCAGACTGGGCATGGTGGTACACACCCTTAGTCTCGGTACCAGGGAGGCAGAGGAAGGCAGATCTCTGAGTTCAAGGCCACCCTTGTCTGTGAATTCCAGGGAAGCCAAAGATATAGAGAGATTGTCTCAAAAACAAAACAAGCTTGGAACAAAACAAGCCAGACAGTAGTAGCACACACTTTTAATCCCAGCACTTGAGAGACAGAGGCAGGCGCATCTCTGGGAGTTTGAGGCCAGCCTGGTCTACAGAGCTAGTTCTAGGACAGCTAGGGCTATACAGAGAAACCTTGTCTCAAAAAAACAAAACCAAACCAAAACAAACAAACAAAAAAAAAACAGTCTTGCCTAGCAATCCTAAGTACCTGTATTCAATCCCTAGTAACCACAGTAAGAAAAAGAAGACCATTTTTAAATATGGTTCATACTCTTAATTACTTCTCTAGTTTTAGCATTCTGCAACTCAGATATAACTGTGCAACCTAAGTTTTTTTATCTTAACATTGGTATCTGAAAGTTTGACTATTCTCTCTGGCTCAGGACCTCACACACTTTGTCTCTGTGTGGCTCTTTGTGGGGTCAGATGTACACAGATCTGAATTTCAGTTTGAGTCACAGGTTTTAAATGATTGCTATAAAATGTCAGCTTTGTGGGTACCCGCATCAACTCCTTTCCCCTCAAGATTTACCCTTGCTTATTAGATAGACTAGTTTAAAAGAAAATAGCAGGGAGGTGGGAAAATAAGCCTGTTTTACTTTAAAAGCCAGGCATCTCTCAGTGTCTTGATACTGAAGAGCTCATTGGAAAACCAGTGGACTCTTATGACCTGGGAATATTCCAGAACTCTTCTCTTCAATGAAATGACTGCAGCTTGCTAAAAGAGTAGAAGATACGGTTGAGGATGTGGTTGACATGCTTTGTTTGATCTTTACAGAGATGTCCCACTTTGTGTCCAATGGCGATGGGCTGGTGGTAACTGTGGACAGTGAATCTGGGGATGTTTTGTGGATCCAAAACTATGCCTCTCCTGTGGTGGCCTTCTATGTCTGGCAGCGGGAGGGGCTGAGAAAGGTGATGCACATCAACGTCGCTGTGGAGACTCTACGCTACTTGACCTTCATGTCTGGAGAAGTGGGACGCATTACTAAATGGAAGTATCCGTTCCCCAAGGAGACAGAGGCCAAGAGCAAGCTGACGTGAGTTGGAGGAGTTGGGACGGATCAGGCAGCAAAGGACAGCCATAACCTTCTGGGACTGCTGCAGTATAGTGCACCCTATACTGGAGGAGGTCAAGGGGTGGGCAGACATCTCTGAGGTTAATAGATCAAGAGTTGATCTGGTTTGCTTTTGATCCTGGCTCAGTGGTGCACACCTTTAACTCCAGCAGGGAGGCAGAGGCAGGTGGATCTCTGAGTTTGATGCCAACCAGGTCTACAAAGGGAGTTCCAGGGCATTCAAGGCTACAAAAAGAAATCCTGTCTTGAAAAACAAACAAACAAGAAACACTGACTCATTTGGGAACCTCAGAATGCGAATCATGGGGTACTCCTTTATGCTTCAAACTTTGTGTGTCTCTTACTGTCTCTTTATCTCTTTCTCTGAGTCTGCATTATGCTTATGGATTTTGAAAGTCCCATTATGTAACCCAGGCTGGCCTCAAACTTATCCGTCTTTCTACCTTAACCTCCAAAATGATGGGATTACAGGCATATACCTACCTGGAATTTTTTAACATTAAATTTTTTATTGTACATCATACTTATTTTAAAAATCAGGGAGAAAAAAGTGTTAGGATGTAAGTGACCGAGACTCAGCAGGCTTGTAATCTTCGTCCCCATGTGGGAAAAGCCTGGTAGTCACTTAGCAGACTAGGCTTCACCTTCATACTTTATAGATTTGTAGGGAAGTTAAAATAGGATCATGTATGTGAAAGTGTTGGCTATAGTGAAGCACCATTTAGGTGGAAGGTATTTGTTAAAAGAAGTTTGGATAATTTCTTAGATGACAGACCCACCAAGGCTCCTGACAGTAGCAAACATAAGGATCTTAGGGACGGCTCCCACTGTTTTCATGCTGCTACTAGACAGACCCATGTGATGTCTGAGGTAGGTTACCTGAGCAGATTACCAGGAAATATCCCTCAGTTTGGATTGGAGTTTTCTTTTTGTTTTGTTTTGTTTTCTTTGAGACAGGGTCTCATGAGCCTAAGCTGGCCCCAAACATACTATGTATACTAGGATTACAGGTGTGCACCACCCTCCTACTTTATGCATCTCTGCATTCCTTTTGCTCTCAGCATCTGGAATGGAGCAGTTGCCCGTCCCTCTATTCACCCTGGGTATCCTCAGGAAGCCCTCAGCAGCATGGTGATGCTGAAGGTGGTGGTTCTGAAAGGCTGCTGGCTCAGGGTCACCTGAGAATCTGGCAGTGGGTGCTGAGTCTTCAGTCTTCTGCTGGTCATGATACTGCCCTTTCTTCAGGCTGTACTGGGCTCATTGTAGTCTAGCCCTGGCGTTTTGCAGCTAAGGAAAGTGAGACTTACCATTGTAAGGTGACTGGTGAAGCTGGGACCTGAAGTTCTGCTGTCCTGTCAACCCTACAGTACCCCTGCCACCTTGCTAGTTTTTGTGGGAGTCACATGGGCTATGTGGGAGGTGGGGTAATACTTGAGTCTATAATTCTGATCTCTTAGAAGCCACATTTTGTGGGGTTTGGATGTGAAATGATTTCAAAATGTATGTTTCTCTTTTTTTTCCAGGCCTACCCTGTATGTCGGGAAGTACTCCACCAGCCTCTATGCCTCTCCCTCAATGGTGCACGAGGGGGTTGCTGTAGTGGTGAGTCAGCTGTGGGACCCAAAGATGCTGTCTTTCAGCTGCTTTTATTCCTTTGAGCAAAAAGTGGCTTGAGTTTTCTGTGAACACCTGGTTAAGAAGAAGAAATGAGCTGGGTGGTAGGGGCGCATGCCTTTAGTGCCAGCACTCAGGAGGCAGGCAGATCTGAGTTTGAGGCCAGCCTGGTCTACAGATCGAGTTCCAAGACAACCAGAGCTACACAAAGAAACACTGTCTCAAAACACAAACCAGAGAGAGAGAGAGAGAGAGAGAGAGAGAGAGAGAGAGAGAGAAGAGGAAACACAGAGCTGTAAGACTCATGAACAACTGTATATCCACATTCTACTTTGAAAGCAAAATAGTTGACAGAAACAGATTCCTAAAGCCAGGAAATGCTGTTATACCCCCGTGGCTTTTGTGTTCAGATCTAAACTCCTTAGACTTTATTCAAGCTAGTCCTACCATATCTTTCTACCTCTCTGTTGGTTCTAGGGAGTTACATGGTCCAGACAAACACATCTTCTCCACAATCCCTAAACTTCCCTGTTCTTTCTTCTGAACGTGTTGCTGGTTTCTCACTTCCTTTTCCCTACTCAGTTCCTTCTTCCATCCTTTGTGTCCTCTCCATGCCTCTTCAGGCTCCCAGCCTACTTTGAGCATTCACTGTGTGTCTGGGACATTACACTCCTGGCCACTTGTCCTGATCTGGACAAGTGTCTGGGCTGGTTGTTTGTACATTGTCTACCCAGAAGTTGGTTGGCTACTGGGGTCACTCCTGCCTCTATAAGCTCATCAGTGGCTGGTTTATTCCACATTGTCAGTTACATCATTTGTGACTGGTACATATCCCCCATTTTCTTCCATATAGATTCTCATATAGTTTTATATAATTTCTATTAATAACTTCTTGGAATTCTGTATGCATATTCTTCCTTGTTCTTAGTACTCAAGCATAAGAATTTGAAAACAGCCAGGAAGTGGTGGTGCATGCCTTTAATCCAACACTCGGGAGGCAGATGTAGGCAGATCTCTGTCAGTCTGAGGCCAGCATGGTCTACAGAGTGAGTTCCAGGACAGGCTTCAAAACTACAGTAAAATCCTATCTCAAACTCTCCTCCCCCCAAAATAAAGAATCTGAAAAGAGGGGGCTGGAAAGATGGTTCAGGGGTTAAGAGCACTAGCTGCTCTTCCAGAGGTCCTGAGTTCAATTCCCAGCAACCACATGGTGGCTCACAACCATCTATAATGAGATCTGGTGCCTCTTCTGGTGTATATATGTTAACAGAACATTGTATGCATAATAAATAAATCAATCTTTAAAAAAAAAAAGAATCTGAAAAGGGCCAAACATTAGAGTACATGCCTGTAATCCCAACTCTGGTGAGATGGAGAAAGGAGGATCTAGAGTTCTAGTCCAGCCTGGGCTGCTTGAGTGCTATCTCAAACAAAAATGTGAAAAGGTGTCAATGGAGCACTGTTGTAACCTGAGGGAGGAACTTCCCTTGTCCCAGGACCTTTGAGTCATGCTTTGCTTATTGAGCCAGAGCCACAATAGTCCCTTTAGGGGAACAGTGGCTGAGGGGATGTGCTGCAGCACCTAATGAAACTCTCCTGCAAGCCCTCCAACTCATCGTATCCCATCTCCTCAGCCTCGAGGCAGCACTCTTCCTTTGCTGGAAGGTCCCCAGACAGATGGTGTCACCATTGGAGACAAAGGAGAGTGTGTGATCACCCCCAGCACAGACCTCAAGTTTGACCCTGGAATCAAAGGGAAGAACAAGCTAAACTACTTGAGGAATTACTGGCTTCTTATAGGTAAGAGTTGCTCTTTGCTGAGTAACATGCTGCCTCCTGGTGGGCAAAAGTCAACCCTGCTGGGCTTACTGCTACCCTTCATTCTAAATGCTATGTACACCCTGTCCATTTCAAGATGGCTTAGATCTGGGAATATTTTTACTTCCAAGGAATTAGAGTTCCAGGTTACCTTATTATGTCCCAAAAGCAGTTTCTCTAATGTTCCAAGATTCAAATACTTGGTGTAATTTTCAGGCTCAGAATGTCTGCTGCCTGTTCCTCACAGTGACCATGTGAGGTATTTGCTCTTATTATTTCCACTTTATAAGTAAGAAGGCCAAGATTGATCATATGGAATATGAATGAATGTGGGTAAGAGGCTGGACAGGATAAGTTGGAAGACTGAAGATGTCAGGGCCAGAATATGAGGAGTCAGGAGCTGCAGAGAAAAAGCTGGTTATGCTTGCAGGTCTTTTGGAAGACCTGTTCTTTTTCCTTTTGATTCTTTATAGCTGATTTTATATTGTTATTATTATTAATTAGTTAATTTATTTATTTTAGTAACCAAATAGGGAAAAGAAAATGGCAAAAGAATTCTTTTCTTTCTTTACAAAAGTAGTTTGGGAAAGCATGTATGAATGGACCCATGTTGAAGGGAGGGGGAAGCTAATTGAGCTGAGGTCATTAAAATTACAAGGCTACTGAGTTTTATGTACCAATTAAGGGTCCATAAACCACCTGGCAGTGGTTAAGAAGTGACACAAAGGAAATGTGTATGAAAGCACTAAACACTGTAAGAGAATTCTCTATGGCAGAGTTACAAAGTGAGATCCCTTTGAAACCCTTTACATTATCAGAGTAGGCTGACTGGGAAGCCTGATAAAATTCCAAGAGTTTGCTAAGTAAAGCTCTCACAATTCTGAGGGCCCCTTTGAGAAACTCTATAGCTAATCAGCTTAAAATAAGACAACAGGGATATGTATCAATCTTCTCATAGACCAGGGCTGCGAGTTGTACCTGTTAATGTCAAGATATGGCCTTTGGTTCTAAGATAGCCCACCTGCACATTCATCTTGAAGATAAAATGGACCTCATTAAACCGAAAGGTGTGGTCTGTTGTTGCTTTGTTTCCCACCGCAGCAGTGACTATGACCTGGTGTTCAGCATCACCTAGTGCTTTGCGAAAGAGGCATGAACTGGAGACCAATGCAGGAGTTCTAGACAGAAGCTGGTCCTGTGCCTTTTGCTTCAGAGTCTGAACCTGTTTGCTCAAAGACAGATAGTTCACAAAGACTGGGTACTATTTATATGAAAATGTTTAAGAACCTTGTGATAAGTTTGCAAAATGGTTGGTTCTGAGTGCACACCAGGTTATTACCCTTCTTCAGAAGGAGCCTGTTATAAGGGTTTCAGTGACTTTTCTAGCTGTCTATTGGTAGGGGGCTTTGCAGATACACAGGGCTCTGAACAGTAGGATTGGGCCTACCAACAGGGGATGGGTAGATAGGTTATTGAAATACAGGATGGCCTATGGAAGGACAACCTCATTTCTCTTGGTCAGTGATCTCTTGTTGGTTGACCTTGGTGACCTGTGATTACGCACATTCAGATTCCTGTGTCCACCACTAACTCTGACTCAGAGTTGTGACACAGGCAGTCAGTCACATGTGGGGAGACCTTCTGTAGAGCAGAGTGTGCCTCAGCATGTGACAATATTCAAGAGAAACTTTGTGATGGTTTAGAGCCAAAGTAGGTTTCCCTTAAAAAAACATGTCATACTGTAGCTAGAGAGACCTGAAAAGATTGAGGCCAGATAAGAGATTAAAGAGGGACTTCCCAGATCAAGAAATGCAAACTCTGTCTAGTTTCTGTCAAGTTTTACCTTGTACACATGGCAGACAGTCTCTAATAGGTTTCAGACTGTGTTGGAGAGATCACAGAGTGGGGGCTGAGGAAATGAGTCAGTGGGTAAAGTGCTTACTATGTGAATATGAGGATAGGAACTCATATAAAAGGCCAGGTATATATAAAAACACACATAAAATATAGAGACAGGTGAATTCTGGGATTCACTGGCCGGCCAATCTAGTTGAAACATAAAGCTCCATTTCAGTGAGATACCCTGTCTTAAAAAAATAAATAAATAATAGCAAGGTATAGAAGCAACTGAGGAAGATGTGGTGATGCATATCTTTAATCCCAACACTTGGGAGGCAGAGGCAGGCCGATCTCTGTTTGAGACCAGCGTGGTCTACAGAGTGAGTTCCTGGACAGCCAGGGCTACAGAGAAACCTAGTCTCGAAAATACAAAACAGACAAACAAAAAAGCTGAAGACTATTTTCCATATTCTGCCATCAACTGATAAAACTTTGAGACAGAGTCTCCCAATGGCCTGAAATTCACTGACTAGGCTAGGCTAATCAACCTGTCTCCATCTCCATTGGATTACAAGCATGTCACCAACTTTACTTACATGAGTTCTGGAGATCAAACTTGGGTCCTCATGCTTTCATAAGCAACTTTACTGACCGAACTGACCTTCCAGTCATAAAATTTCTATGGGGGGGGTGGTTTTGGTTTTTGTTTGTTTGGATTTCATTGTGAAGTTCGGGCTAGCCTGGAATTCACTGTGTGATCCAAGCTGGTCTTAAACGCACAGAGATCCACCACCTCTGCCTCCCAAGTGCTAGGATTAAAGGTGTGTGCCACCACACCCTGTACAATTTCTGTTTCTGTGCTAATTCTCCATCACTGTGTAGATATGAGATTGCATTGTAGGAAATGCCCCCTCAGCACATAGAGACAACTATAGAAATCTTGTGTTGAGAACTACCACTGCCTGGGAACTGTTCTCATTAAAGATTTCTTTCCTCTTGTAGGACACCATGAAACTCCTCTGTCTGCATCTACCAAGATGCTGGAGAGATTCCCCAACAACCTGCCCAAACATCGGGAAAATGTGATTCCTGCTGATTCGGAAAAAAGGAGCTTTGAGGAAGTGAGTGAGGAAGGGGATTGATGGCTTTAGCTTTCCTCTCAGGTGGAAGGGGCCTAGCTTAGGGCCTCAGCTGGTCCATCCCAGTTGGAAAAATCCCAGCATGAAGGAGCTATAGTAGAACTATCCACACAGATGTTCTCACAGCATACCTTGTCCTGCAGCCTGAGAGGGCAGGGTGGAAAAGGCCTCTGAGCAGAAGCTGGGAGCTTCAGTTGAAAGTCCCTAAGCACTCAACTCTGTTAATTCTCCTCCATCCCTCTGCTGGTACTCTCTATTGGCTGTTCCTGCTCAGATATTAGAGGGTTGGGAAGACTTTTTTCCTTGCTTGTATGGCCAGCAAAGGGGATTTGGAAGTTTGTGAAGGCGTTGGTGAGCTAACTATTCATTCCTGGACCTCTTGCAGCTACTCTGTAAGTGGAGAGGGGTGATAGAGAAATGACCCAGATTAGGGGAGGCTTTGAAGAACAAGAGCTATTGACATGGGCCGTCTGTAGTCTTAACAAATCACTTGAGAGACTTCATTTATTATTTATTTGTCTGTGTTTTTCAAGACAAGGTCTCATTATATAGTACTCCTGGAGTTACAGGTGGTTGTGAGCTGCCTTATGTGGTTGCTGGGAACCAAACCCAGATCCTCTGCAGCAGCAGTACATGAATTTAACCATTGACCATCTCTCCAGCCCCACAACTGTCTTTTTAAACACTCTTGAGCAGTTACTATCTAAATAAATGTCCTCTGTCATGCTCAGCACACATTTCTCAGTCACTTGCTACATACTAAACAAGCCATACTCCCCATGCACTGTGGGATACACCATAAGGGAGGCATGAACAAAAGAGGTATGTATCTGAATGGACTCAGGGAGCAACTGGAAGGGAAGAGACGGGCATCAAAGGCTGATGTCTTGCAGGAGAGAGTGTAGTGACATAAGCGTGTGGAGAACCAGTGTGCAAGGCTAGGAAGCTGTGTGTTAGCTTTTTGAATACAAATCAATGGTTTTTCTTAACTGTTCCAGGAAATCTCTAAGGTTCTGAGGAACTTGGAGGGAAGCTACAAGCTACATGCTTATCTGATTTGAGTTAGAACTTCTAAACAAGCATTTCTTTTTTTTTTTTGCCATTTATTTATTTATTTATTTATGTTGTTGTTGTTGTTGTTTTGAGACAGAGTTTCTTTGTGTAGCCCTGGCTATCCTGAAACTAGCTCTGAAGACCAGGTTGGCCTTGAACTCACAGAGATCCTCCTGCCTTCCAAGTGTTGGGATCAAAGGCATGTGCCATCACTGCCCAGCTAGCATTTTTTAATAAAGGCATCTGATTCTTTTCCCTAACTTTGGAAAAATAATAGATTCTTGAATAAATTATTTTAGTTTTTTGGGAGTTCCTTAAAATTTAAAAGCAACCTAAGGAAGTGGCTTTATTGCTTTGTTAGCTATACTAGCTGCATGCCTGTGTGTGTCTGTGTGTGCGCGTGTGCGTACGCGTGCTTCAGTATAGGGTTGTACGTTATGTATAAGGAGACCAGAAGACATTGGGTACCCTGCTCTGTCACTCAGCATTGTGTTCCCTTTACTGAATCTAGAGCTAAACGGTGACCAACAGGCCCTGGTGATCTTCCTGTCTCCACCTCACCCACTGATGGGGTTACAGGTGCACATACCACTGTATTTGACTTCTGGTGTGTGTTCTTGGGATTTGAACTTAGATCTTCATACTTGTATAGTCTTGCTTTATTTTTGTGGTTTGTTTGTTTGTAGTGTTGGGATTAAACCCAAGATTTTCTGGATGCCCCAGTTAGCTTCATTTTTCAATGTGAAAAAGTATCAAATTGATGACCAACTTTTCACTAGGATTTTTTTTATAGTTGATTTAAGTGATTTTACAGTTTTCCTTAAATAGCAAATCTACTATCAAAGGAATAAGATATTTGTCATTGAAAATTTTAAAAGAATGTCAAGGTCTAAATGTATTTTCAAATATATTTTTATGAAATCTCTGTGTGAACAATGACAGCATCACTGCAGAATTGTATGGTTTCTCAGAGCAACTGCTTAGAAAGAAGCAACAGTTATCTGGGCCATCAGACTTTTGATGAACCAGAAAAGAACATTGAGTATAGTCCTACATTTTAAGTAGACATGGCTTCTCTTGAGTGCTGACTTCATCTATAAAGCTAGACATTTAGCAAATCTCTTCCATGCAAGGTTATCAACCTGGTTGACCAGACTTCAGAAAATACACCAACTACCGTGTCTCAGGATGTGGAAGAGAAGCTGGCCCATGCACCCGCCAAGCCTGAGGCCTCTGTGGACTCCATGCTCAAGGACATGGCTACTATTATCCTGAGCACCTTTCTGCTGATTGGATGGGTGGCCTTCATCATCACTTACCCCCTGGTAAGGCTTGACCCTTCTCGATGCCTCTGTGTTCTGGTACCTCTCTGTTAGTCACTAAGTGTCAGTGGGGGCCTCACAAAAGCAGTCAACATGTTTCATAACTAAAAGTCAATATTTGGTCTAAGAATCATGTTGCACTCCTTTAATTATAGCACTTGGAAGTTTCAAAACCAACCAAGGCTATACAGTGAAACCCTGCTTTAAAAAAAAAAAAAAGGAAAAGGGAAAAAAAGAATATTTGCTTATCTTCAAAAACATTAGCCATACTAGCTTCTCATAAAAGGACAGTTTTATAACTAAATCTTAGTGTTTTTCAAGAAAGGTCTATAAAAGCTAATGTATAATCCTGCCTAAGATCATTTTAAACAGTTAATTGTATCTTGTTTTTTAAAAGGAAGGATAGCAGATTACACCATGAGATCAGCTAAATTGTAAAGGGTGGTGTGTTGAGTTCTTTCCTCCCTAGCTGCAGATAAGTCAGCAAAAATGAGGGTGTGTTTGAGTAGTTAAGACCATAGTCCCTGCAGCAAGTTGTTCAAGCCTACAGTACTGTCTCCTGAAAACACCAGTGCACAGCCCGCTCACATCTCTATCGAGTAGGGAAGACAGAGACTTTGTGAGCTTTGTTTCCCGTGGCAAAGTACAGTTACCTTTTTTTAAAAAAAAAAAAAAAACAAACCTCATACAGTCCTATGAGGTCGTTATTATTTATTCTCTGTCCACAGAAGAAACTAAGCTCAGGGAGCCTATGTGCCTTCCTGGGGTACTAAGCTAGGAGGCAGCACACCCAGAACTTGGACCCTGGGTTCAAAAAGAGCTAGAAAATTCCCCTCTAGTCCACTTCCCATACACGAGCAAGAATAATTGCCGGCCACTGATGCTTCTCATGATGAAGCAAAGCTTCCAGAGTATTGGAGAAGAGGGTTCTGTGTGGCAGCATGATGAAACCAAGCCCTTGGAGTAGGACCTTAGCCAGGCACCATCATTCAGCCCCATACTACCTCATTCTGGACCCAACTTCCAGCCTGCCTTCTAGACTTGAGGTCATCCTGCTCTAACCTCTATTCAGGCACAGGATTGTGGACCAGGACTTGCCCCCTGCCCACCATACTCCGTGCACCTGTAGCCATTCTTCCCATTTGGCTTCACTTCTACTGTAACTCTAGGTTTTCTTAAAAGTCACTAATTCTAAGATTAAGTAGAAATTTTTCCACTAGTCCTCTTTCTAGCACAGGATCCCTTCAGGTGCTCCTCCTAGTGGCCACTTAATCTCACCATCACCCTCCAGAGGTAGACTGTGGGCACTACAGAAGAGTAAAATTACTGAAGCAATTCTGTCTTACTATGGCTTCTCTCTGACTGTAAGCGGAGACTGTTATTTTATTTTCCGGCCACCCAAACCCAAATAATCACACAAAAACTATATTAATTACAATACTGTTTGGCCAGTGGTTCAGACATATTGGTAGCTAGCTCTTACATCTTAAATTAACCCATTTTTATTAATCTATGTATTGCCATGAAACTGGCTTACCAATAAGGTTCTGGCATGTTTCTCCTTTGGCAGTTACATAGCGCCTGCCTGATTCCACCTTCTTTTCTCCTCTATCTCTGCTTGGACTTCCTGCCTTGCTATATTCTGCCCTGCCATAGGCCAAAGCAGCTTATTTTTTATTGGTAATAAAACATATTCACAGCATAGAGGGGGGAATCCCATATCATCTGGCCTTGTGCCTTAGGGTTCAAGTAAAGTCTGCCTGCCTCCTTGGCAACAGGGAATACCTCTCCCTGTGACTTGTTTCCCAGCTACACTAGCCTGGCTGTGGTTTTCTCTTCACAGAGCATGCATCAGCAGCGCCGACTCCAGCACCAGCAGATCCAGAAGGAGCTGGAAAAAATCCAGCTCCTTCAGCAACAGCAGCTGCCCTTCCACCCACATGGAGACCTTATTCAGGACCCCGAGTTCCTGGACTCATCTGGCCTCTTCTCAGAGAGCTCAGGCACCAACAGCTCCAGCCCATCCCCCAGAGCCTCCAACCACTCACTCCACTCCAGCACCAACCCCTCCCTGGAGCAGGATGAAGAGGGTAAAGACAGTTCCCATAGTATCTTTGAACATCACTTGGAACATAGAACACCAGGTCATTCCTGAGGGTTCTCCATGTTCTTCCCTGGCGTCCTCCCAGCTATGGATCTCTGTGATAGGGGGCTTCTGTCCCATTCATGGTATCTTCTGTTTGAAGGCCTTCTTCCTCCATCTTTGCTCTACAGGGCTGTTAACCAAAGGGAAGTTTCCCATCTGGCTTAAGTGAATTCCTGAGACCAGCCACTGGCCAAGTTCAGAAGTGAAGCAGTGACCTACTTTCTTCTTGGGGAATGGGCTTAGCCAATGGTTAGGGCCCATATTCTGGGAGGATTGCCACAGAGATTGTGAAGGGGCCTCAGAGCCCCTAGTTCTAAGCAGTCTCTTTCTTTTACCTGTTTCACCATACTGAGACATTTTAGATATGGATCTTTGAGGTAGACCTTTCTTCATTTTTGCTCACCATTAACTAAATATGAGACTCCATAGAGAATCCTTTTCTTTGGGAAAGCTTAAGACTCCTGAGTTAATATAAGGGCAGAAACAGAATGTAGGAATAGGGGGCAAAATGCTGGGGAGGAGGCAGTGACCCTGGGCATAATTGAACAGTGGGTCTAACTAGCTCTTGCCCACCAGGAATCTGGATATTTAGGCCCTCTTAAATCCCAAGTCTTACTCAGAAATCAGGAAGCTTCAAAATTCTTTAGTTGATGTCTGTTTAAAATGACTGCTTCTTTTCCCTGTTTTGTTCCAGATGAGGAAACTAGAATGGTGGTTGTTGGGAAAATTTCATTCTGCCCCAAGGATGTCCTGGGCCATGGAGCTGAGGGCACAATTGTATACAAGTAAGTGGTGTCATCTAGTCCCCCAACTTTGTGAGTGCTTGTAGGATTGAAGTTTTAAGTGCCAGGCTCCTGGGACATATCAGGGTCAAAGTGGTGACCAAGGCAAGTGAGCCTTGTCTTCAGTGAGCTCCTACATAGTCTTAGAGTTTCTGTTGCTGTGGTGAACACCATGACCAAAAGCACCTCGGGAGGAAGGGGCTTGTTTTACTTCCACTTCCACATCACAGTTCATTGAAGAAACTCGGGATAGGAACTCAAGGCAGGATTTGAAGTAGAAGCCATGAGGAGTGCTGCTTACTGGCTTGCTCCTCACAGCTTGCTTAGCCTGCCTCTTATATACCCCAGGACCACCTGCCCAGGGGTGATACCATTGACAGTGGGCTTGGCCTTCCCACATCAGTCACCAGCTCTGAAAATGTACTTCAGAATTGCTTATAGGCAGATCTTATGGAATCATTTTCTCAGTTGAGAATCCCTCATCCTAATGACTCTAGTTTGTGTCAAGTTGACTTAAACCTATTCAGGATGGTGAAAGAGATGTACATAGTCACTGTAGGTTGCTAGTGGTTGGCAGGGCCTCTGGGTCTTGACGGTGGGGTGCTTGATACTAGAAGAAGAAGCATTGGTGACTTACAGGGCTGATCTTATGTCTACAGCCCAACGTGCACTAGCCAAACTCAGTTACTTCTTGTCCTACAGAGGCATGTTTGACAACCGCGATGTGGCTGTGAAGAGGATCCTCCCTGAGTGTTTTAGTTTTGCAGACCGTGAGGTCCAGCTGCTTCGAGAATCAGATGAGCATCCGAATGTGATCCGCTACTTTTGCACAGAGAAGGACCGGCAGTTCCAGTACATTGCCATTGAATTGTGTGCAGCCACCCTGCAAGAGGTGGGTCTGGGTGGCCTTCTGGTGCCTGGGGTCAGTGACAGCTTTGCCACAGCCTCTGCAGCCTCTCTCCCACCAACTGGGATGTGTTCAGGAAGTATCTACTTACTATTTTTAAACTTAGCTTTATTAACTTTATTGAAGTTACTGTACAGCAACTTCTGCTCATCTTAAATGCATAGTTGGTGTATATCTATGTCCACTAACCACCAACACAAATACAGAGAAATTTTTATCACCACAGTCTTTGTGAAGTAGCCCACTCAGCATTCCTGGCCAGTTTGGTTGCAGTTGGCAAGTCTCTTGCTCCCTCTCTTCTAGGGAACCTAGTAGGTTCTTCCCATCTCTGGTCATTTGCTGGTACAGGCTTAGAGGTTGCTGGTTGATAACTTCAAGCTGTCAGAGCATTCCACAAAATCCTTTTGCTCCATATTCAGACTCACCCAGAACATTCCAGTATCATTTGGGTTCTCCTGTAGGCTTGCCAATGCCAGGAAATGAACCTGCCTTATTATCTTCATTGTAAATTAATAAACTGGAGCTTTGTTTATGAGTTTGAGTCAGCCTATGACTTTAGGGGGTCTGTTGAACAATATGAGTTGAATTGAGAATGTTGTCAGTAAAATGAAATCAAAAGAAATGATATAGACATAGAAGTCCTGAAGGTGCTGTGCTGTGACCTTGCCATTGTGCCTCTTGCAGTATGTGGAGCAGAAGGACTTTGCCCACCTTGGCCTAGAGCCCATCACCTTGCTTCAGCAGACTGCCTCAGGCCTGGCACACCTGCACTCTCTCAACATAGGTAAGAGAATTCTCTTTGCTGTCCCAGGTGGGGGCAGCTATCTGGCCTTCATAGGAGAAAGGAGTATGTAAGTCTCTTGACAGGTTGTGTAGGAGTTTGAGGGAGAACCTTAGGTAACTGAAAACCAAATGTTTTGAAGATTGCAGCAGATACTTAGAAGTCTGACAAGGACCCACAACCCCCTGTAGGAAGCTGGGGTTACTCGTGGTAAGCTCTGAATGAATCTGAAGTTCTCTTCTAGTTCACAGAGACCTGAAACCCCACAACATTCTCCTCTCCATGCCCAATGCACATGGCAGGATCAAGGCCATGATCTCTGACTTTGGCCTCTGCAAGAAGCTGGCAGTGGGCAGGCACAGTTTCAGCCGCCGTTCAGGGGTACCTGGCACTGAAGGCTGGATTGCCCCAGAGATGTTGAGTGAAGACTGCAAGGAGAACCCTGTAAGTAAATGGGAATATTTTTAAGAAAATCACAGTGTTATCCTGTTAGTTCTCAAGCTGTGACGGCCCAGGCACACATGGCTACAGAATGACACCCCTCTAACAAAGGACTGTTCCAGGTCCTGATAGAGGCATGAGAAGGCAGATGTGAGCAGCTGTCTCTTACCCAGATCTTCAGTCACTTTCTAACCCCTTTTCAGTTGGGAACCTGGAACTTGCCTCAGATGAGCAGACCTACAGTCTTCATTTAAGTTTGTTTTGTTTCCCTAGAGTTTTGTTTTAAGAATTTGTAGTCCTGCAGAAAATTGAAAGAATGTTAGGACCTATGTGCTTTCATCCAGAGTCGTTGTTACTACACAATGTGGATTTGCTCTCTCTCCCTGTATTTACCTGTGGCTGGGCCATTTACATATAGGGAGCCTTCGCCCCTAAATGTTGCAGCACTTGTTTCTAAGAGCAGTGCCTTCTCCCACCGTCTTGTTACAGCTGTACAGTCATCACTCTTCCCATCCTGTCTCCTTACACACAGTCCATGCTCACTCCCCCAGCTAGCACTCAAGTCCTTCACAGCTCGTTTTGTATTCCAGGACTCTGTTGAATTTGGCTGTATCTATAAATTCCCAGCAGCCTCCCTACCTGTTTTGTTCTTTGATGCTTATTCTTTTTAAAAACAAACAAACAAACAAAAAAACATTTTTTAGAATTTTCTTAACTTATGTGCATTGGTGTGAAGGTGTCTGGAACTACAGACAGTTGTGAGCTGCCATGTGGGTGCTGGGAATTGAACCAAGGTCCTCTGGAAGAGTAGCCAGTGCTCTTAACCTCTGAGCCATCTCTCCAGCCCATTGATGCTTATTCTTAAGAAGTTCTTGAATGCCCCATTCTAGGCTACTTTGCTTGTTTCATCATGACTGTGTTTCACAACTCTCTCTGTTCTTTATATTTCCTGTAAGCTAGAAGTTAAGTCTAGAGGCTTGATTAGATTCAAGAGAATTGTTTCAGGTGAATAGATCACAGGTCGAGGAGGAACGTGATGTTGGATTGTGCTCTGATTGGTGATGCTAACTCCGGGCACCTGGCAGAGCGAGCGTCCCAGGCTATTAGCCCCAAGCCCATGACCTTGACATCAGTCAGGACCCTGAGGCAGCACTACAGTGTCCCATGCTGTTCTGAGCAGTTCATGTTCATCATCCGCTTACCAGATTCCTTTCAGGAGGGGCTGGAATGAAATCAGGGCTGTGAGCAAAGTGATAGCTGTCTGAGGCCTCCCACTCTGCCTTTCTTTCAGACCTACACAGTGGACATCTTCTCTGCAGGATGTGTCTTTTACTATGTCATCTCTGAGGGCAACCATCCTTTCGGCAAGTCCTTACAGCGGCAGGCCAACATCCTCTTGGGCGCCTGTAGCCTTGACTGCTTCCACTCAGACAAGCATGGTGAGCAGGTGGACTGGGTGGTTACACCTTCCGCTGGCTGTACTGTCCGTTGGGCCTTAGGAAATGCTGAAACATACAGAGTTGCTGGAGGCTGGCTAAGATCATCCTTGGAGTACTGAGACGCTGACCTGAGAAAGGCGCCCTCTGGAGGCTGCTCTTTCTTAACTCGTGACAGGGAGCCTTACTGGCATGTGGGAGGATCTGTGCTCTGTAAAGTGGACTCCGATGTGTGAGGGCCACGGTTGCAAGACACAGTCCATGTCCTGTAAGGATAAACAGGTTCTGTTCTTGATCTGACCTGGACACACAACACGTGCTTCTTCCTGACTGGGAAGTTTACTAGATTATATTAGACCATCACACCCCAGCACTGCTATGTGAAAAGATTAAAACAAAGTAATTTTTTGCACCAGGCGATGGTGACACATGCCTTTAATCCCAGTACTCAGGAGCCATAAGTAGGAAAGATCTTTGTGAGTTTGAGGCCAACCTTGTCTACAAAGTAAGTTCTAGGACAGCCAGGACTGTTAAATAGAGAAATCCTGTCTCAAAAAATAAACAAACAAACAAAAAAGTAATACTGGTTTTGCTTATGAGGTTTTTTTCCCCTTATTCAGTGTAGAAAAAAACACATTAGCATAAAGATCCATTTTTTTTAACTTTTTTATTGTTTTTATTGAACTATACATTTTGTCCTCTCCCCTCTCCCCTTCTACCTATTCCCATGACTTCCACATTCCCAATTTACTCAGGAGATCTTAAAAACCCCATATTTTCATTATACAGGGATGGATATCTGCTATCAGTGCCTTTGTTGATATATTATTATAACTGATTATCTAGATATGTATACTTACTTTTAAAAAAATGGGTCCAGGAGTGGTGGCATACACCTTTAATCCCAGTACATGGGAGGCAGAGGCAGGAGGAGTTCTATAAATTCAGGCCAGCCTGGTCTACAGAATGAGTTCCAGGACAGCCAAGGCTACATAGTAAGACCCTGCCTCAAAACAACAACCTAAAGATGGTGCTAATGGGTTGGCAAGATGGCTCAGCAGGGAAAGGCCCTCACCTATAAGCCTGATGACCCTGGGAACCCACCTCCATAGTAAAAGGAGAGAACCAACTTCTTACAAGTTGTCCTCTGACCTCTATACGTGTGTCACACATACATGCCCTTCCTCTATACACACAAAAAAAAAATGTAAAAAATGTGGGGTTTAAGACTAGAGGTTATGGGGGCTGGAGAGATGGCTCAAGTGGTTAAGAGCACTGCCTGCTCTTCCAAAGGTCCTGAGTTCAATTCCCAGCAACCACATGGTGGCTCATAACCATCTGTAATGAGGTCTGGTGCCCTCTTCTGGCCTGCAGATATACACACAGACAGAATATTGTATACATAATAAATAAATAAATATTTAAAAAAAAAGACTAGAGGTTATGGAACATACTTATAGTCCTAGCACTTAGGACACTGAGTTAGGACAACCCTAAACTTGAGACCAGCCTAGGATACACAGGGAGTTCAGGTGAGCCTGAGCTGATAGACTCCTGGAGGGAATGGGATGGGGTTAAATCATTCACTTGCAACCAGCTCATTTTTCAAATTCATCTTTTTGGTTCATTGTTTGTTTAATGAGTCCAGGTCTCTTTGTATAGCCCAGGCTAGCTTCAGTCTTCTTACATAACTCATACTGGTCTCAAAATCATCATCTTCCTGCCTCAGCTTCCTGAGTACTGGGATTACAAGCCCATCATGCCTTACCTTGAATGTCATTCTAAATCCATCTGTATTCAGCCCTGGCTCATCATCTAGTATGTAAGCCTCTGGTTTGGGATATTTTTAGTCACTACTTTTTACAAACCACATAGTGAAAAATCTCTTATCAACTGATGTTTGGTGTGAATTCATTATTTTATTAGAATTCATTCCTGTAGCAGAATCTTGTATCAAAAGGCATACAAGGGTAGTTGGTAAAATGCTTACCACGAAAACATGAGGACTTAACTTGCATTTGGATCCTCATGTATGTCATGCATCTATAACCCCAGTACTGGAGAGGCAGAAACAGGAGGATTCTTGGGCAGCCAGTTTAGCTGAATTGGTAAGCCCCAAGTTCAGTGAGAGACTCTTAGAAAACATTAGGTGGAGAGCAACTGAGGAAGAGATTTGACATAAACCTCCGACCTCCAGCATGCACACACATGCAAACTTGTACACATATATACACATATGTACAGATACATACAAATGTGGGGGACATGCAGATTTTCAAGGTTTCTGATACTTCATTTAGCTATAGGTTGGAAATAATGGGTTGTTTGTTTTCTTCTTCTTCAGAGGATGTCATTGCTCGTGAATTGATAGAGAAAATGATTGCAATGGATCCCCAGCAGCGACCTTCTGCAAAGCATGTGCTAAAACACCCATTCTTCTGGAGCCTGGAAAAGCAGCTCCAGTTCTTTCAGGTACCTGTGTCTGTTTCTCCATCAATTTTTTTTTTTTTTTATTCCCAAGACAGGGTTTCTCTGTATAACAGTTATGACTATCCTGGAACCTACTCTGTAGGTCAGGCTGGCCTCGAATTCACTAAGATTCACTTGCCTCTGCCTCCAAGTACTGGGATTAAAGGTGTACATTACCACTGCCCAGCCTTCCATCAAATTCTTAATTCCTTCCAGATTCTGAAAAGGTAGAAAGAACAAAGAGCAAAACAAATGACATATAGAGTACAACCAAGACAAACGTGATTGACATTTGTGTTAGTAAATTCAGTGTGCCTGTCATTAAGGGGATGTGTGAGAATCACATGATACAGAATGGGTAGTCCAGCAGTGGCCATCTGAGTGCTGGAGAGACTGAGAAGTCAGTAGCTGCTCAGTAGTTATATTCTGTGCTGAAGACCTGAAAGATTTCCTAGAGAGCTCCTGGTGTTAGTCCACAGTGGAAAGCTGAAGAAAAGGGTGCCAATGTCAGTGAAGGATGGCAGCAGCAACAGAACGGGATAGGTGTTGTTATAGCAAGAAGCAAAGGCCAGCAGGCCAGACTGCTTTCCCTCAGACCTCTATATCTAGCCACCTGTCCTAGGGTGCTGTCCATGCTGGGAGAAGACCATTCTGGAGCTTCCCTCACAGACACCCCCAGGCATATGTTTTAGCTGATTCTAAATATGATCAAGTTGATAACTAAAATTAACCATCACATTCTGAGTTTTTTTCACCTCTCTTTTGTTATGGGGGGATCTCTGCAAGTTTGTCCCAATGAGTGACAGATGTATCTGCTCACAGGGAAAGTCAGTGGATCAGCGTTGTGAGCTGCAGGTATCTGCAACCTTGCTTTGAGGATGCTGTGGCCTGAGCCTAAGAGGATGCCAGTTTGCTTACAGTCCACACGCTAGTGGCTGACCCAGTGCTAGTGTTCCTGACTCTGACCCAGTACCTGTTCTCCCTCACAGGATGTGAGTGACCGAATAGAAAAGGAGTCCTTGGATGGCCCGATAGTAAGGCAGTTGGAGAGAGGCGGGAGAGCGGTGGTGAAGATGGACTGGCGGGAAAACATCACTGTCCCCCTGCAGACAGGTGACCGTGCTATTTCTGTTCCATTTCTGAGAACTTGATATAGACAAGGCAGTTCTAGCTGTTGAAGTTCCATATCCCACTTTTCAGGTCTGAGACTTATTTGAGCATGTCCTTATGGACTTGTCTACATGGATACACATTTATGTTTATCCCTTGGAGTAACAGATTAATGATAGTGTCATGCTCTAAGGCGCTATTTCTGATCTGGATGAACTTCAGATGAACACCACCTTTATTTTAGGTCTAAGGTAGCATCTTTTGCAGTGACTGAGATTCACTCTAATCCAACTTCAGAACGTCAGGAATTTTCTTTTAAAATTTACATTATATCCCTTAATGTTTTTTCTAGATCTGCGAAAATTCAGAACCTACAAAGGTGGCTCTGTCAGAGATCTCCTCCGAGCCATGAGAAATAAGGTAAAGGGCTTATGAGTGCTTTGGGGGAGGTGGCCACAGCAGATATCTCCTCCTCTGCTCATGTCTAGGTATTTTTTTTTCATAATGGATTTCACCTTGTAGAGGCTGGGCAGCTTCAGCTGGATTTGACAAGTATCTTAGTTACTTTTCTGTCACTGTGAAGAGACACCATGACCAAGGCAGCTGATAAAAGGAAACTTAACTGGGGGCTTGCTTACAGCTCAAGAGGGTGAATCCCTGACCGTCACGGCAGGGAGCATGGCAGCAGGCAGGCAGGCATAGTGCTGGAGCAGGGGCTGAGAGCTGCATACTGATCCACAAGTTGGAGGTACAGAAAGACTGGACCTGGCATGGGCTTTTGAAACCTCAAACCCCAGTGACACACCTCCTCCAACAAAGCCACACCTCCTAATCCTAAAAAGTCCACCAATTGGGAGCCACACTTTCAAATATATGAGCCTATAGGGACCGTTCTCATTCTAGTAACCACAACAAATCAATGCCATGTCTTTGCTCGAATTTCCAGAGACTTTAGGATGCAGGGCTAAGTTCTAGGGACCAGTGTCTTGGGACATAGGTGTTTCATGATCTCTGCTGATTTATTGTACCCTCAGGCTGCTTGACAGACACCTTATAAGCACTGTCTAACAGGGACCTTCTGGTCACTTCCCTATACAAGGTCAAGTCTTCAGAGATTTGAGGGAAGGGTTTCTCTGTTTCTTCTTGGAGTCCTGGGGATGCTCTTGACCTGTGAGCCACTGAACAACCTTCACTTAGGGCTGACCCCAGGTGCAGAAGCAGCCTTCAGTCCTGTTAGGACAAACACTACAATTCCATGACCTTCATGGGAGGCCTGTGTTCCCTTCCAAGTGGTCAGCCTCATAGTGAAGCTACAGCTGCTCTCCTTAGGCTGAGCCTCACCCACTTGGAGCTCTACTCGTGAAGGAGGAAAGCCTACAAGCCTACAAGACAGCAGAGATGTGTTGTTGGTACATGAATCTTTCCTTACAGAGAAGCCCTTAGCACTGTCATCCTGCTGCTAAAGCTGTGTCTCTCTGCTCATTCACAGAAACACCACTACCGAGAGCTCCCTGTGGAGGTTCAGGAGACGCTGGGCTCCATCCCTGATGACTTCGTGCGCTATTTCACATCACGCTTCCCCTACCTCCTCTCTCACACCTACCGAGCCATGGAGCTGTGCAGTCATGAGAGACTCTTCCAGACCTACTACTTGCACGAGCCCACAGAACCCCAGTCTCCAGTGACTCCAGATGCCCTCTGAGCTAGGGTAGCCCCTCTAGTGTGGTGGCCCCCACAGTGACTGTGGGTCTGATCTCTGCAGTCCATAGCTTGCTGCCTCTGGGATTAGCAGGAAGACTAAGCTCCTCAAACCAAGTGCCTTGAGCTGCTGCCCTGCAGCCAGAAGAAGATAATGCTGATTCTAGGAACGGGAGAGGGGCCCTCATGACTACAGAAAGCTGAAACGACATGCCCTGAAGTCTTGTAGTCAGGGCTAGCTACAAAGGTGGGCCTGTCCCAGAGGCTGCAAGAGGAGCAGTGTCAACCTTTCACTGGATGAACTCTCTTCCACGTCTATTTCTTTCTAGAATTCCTGTGGGATGGCAGTTTGGGGCCTTTCAGTGAGGGAGTAGAGGAATCCTGTTTGGCCTACATGCTAGGAGCAGCCTGGTTGGGGTGCAGCAAGTGTACCCTCTGCTGGAAATGGTCTGAGAGATTCAGGGTGCTAAGGAAGAGAACGTTCAGAGGTGTTCTTCTTGATATAGGAGGCACCTCCAGGTTACTGGTAGCCTGTGTTGCCTCGTGCACCAAGTTGTAAGTGTGGGGCGTGGAGTTAGAGACTGGTTAGCAGTGCGTGTGGACAGCTGAGCTGTGTCTGGGAATGGAAGATGAAGAGGACATTCAGTTCTCATTGCAGTGCTGGCCCAGCACAAGTGTACTAAACAGTAGCTCCTGATAGATTGAATCCTGGCCATGTGAGCCAGAGATGAAGAATTCCCTGGCCATCAAGAAGGCAGCTAAGACCAGACAGGGACAGAGACAGGTCGTCAGGGCCAGAGGGGAGCAACGAGAGGGAACCTCTGAGCACATGGAGAGGCTCAGAACCAGGAGGTGAGTGATATGGACCGTCTGCCCCAGAGCCCAGCAGATTAGCACACAGATTGTAAGCCAAAGCCTGGGATAGAGAGCCAAGGCCAGAGCCACCATAGGCTTTTTAGGCCAGCTTTTACATTTCTGGCAGATATTAATGAGTGTGTTTTGGTCATATTGCAGAATGCTGCACTTGCATAAGTAAGTTAAATGTAGCTTGATGCTTGTGAAGAAGAAATGTAAGATATAATATCTTCTGTTTTGTGTAGTACCAAAAATCACCATTCCCTCAAGAATGTATAACATTCTCTAATGCTGAAGAGTAAGACATCTTGCAACACTGTGTAAATGTATTGATATCAAAGTGATTCTATCAGTACCGTTTTTCTCTAAAATTAATTTTTAACTTTAGGTCTAGTCAGAGTTTACTGTCTTCTCCCTCCCAAGAGCCTTTGATGTTAGTATATAGTCAGGGTCCAGGGGGTTGGATTCTGTGTAGACTCCTTGAGCCAGTGTGGCCTCTGACATGTAGTCCTGGTGAGCTGAGGCTTGTTCTGTTCTGTGCTAAGAGTGGCCTCGGCAACTCTATGCACTGCACTGACTGTAGTCATGGCTGCTGCATCCCCTGAGAGGTCTTCTGGTGTGCTGGTACAGGGCCACTTACCCAAAGCTTCTCTGCTGCTGTGGAATTTGATTTCCTTACTTTCATGGTGGCCAAAGTGAACACTTTCTTAACCTCCTGCATCTTTGAACCTCATGGGTAACTCTGTTTAGACCTTGGAATTTCAGCCCCCGTGGCTGACTTCCTGCTCATCTCTTACTATAGCACTTTGCCAGTGGGCCCAAGAGGGGACAGCCTAAGACCAATGGCAGGAGGTGCAACCAGTGTGGTCTAACAGGCTTGCCTCTGAGACTGCTGCCTACCTTGTTCCTCCTGGCTGAGATTCCCTTTGGGAAGTGCTGAAGTCTTTTATAAAGGCCCAGCGTGGTGTTACCTCCCAGTCTGCCTTGGGTCAGCTTTTCAAATGTTCTTACCACTTATCGGATCAGTTTCTAACCAATCAAATTTCCAAAAGTCCTCTATTCATCGTACTTATTTGTAGAAACTTTCCGTAGAGCTAGATAGGATATGAGACACTTGGGACACAGAGAGTACAGAAAGACTTGTGCCTTTTAAAGCCTCGTGAGAGTCATTAGCACACAGTGTCAGGGCAGAAAGAAAACTCAAGTGGGTAGGAAGGGTGTATATTTGGGGTTTGCCCCACTTGTGCCTTAAAACTGTCCCATCTCAAAAATCAATCAGCTGTGGTCAGCTCACCTCTGTGTGTCCTCTAGAAACCAGGCAGTTGTTAGCTCTCCAGGTGTGTCGTGAAAACACTGTGGGCATCTGGGATGCTCAGCAAGAGACACTGCCTGCCTTCAGTCCAGGCCAGCTCTGTATTATTGTCACATCTTCAGAGGCGCTAGGAGCCCTGGAAGACGCCCAGCTGTCTCCAGGTACAGCATCTTCAGCTTTAGGATGGAATTGAGTTATGTCTGGGATGTTACCTTTGTTTAAACTTTGTCTTGTGTTGAACTTTAAGTTCAGAAAGTATGCTGTATCATTAGTACCAAAGCACTTGCACTTTTGGGAACATAGGTGTCACTTGGTAAATCACTAAGCCGTCTAGAGACTGAAGGTGAACCCCGGCAGAGGTGTCTCCTGCTCTCAATACAGCAGTAGCTGTAGGCTCTTCCCATGATGCACTACAGAGAAGGTGGAGGTCTGAGGTCAGCAGATAAAGCCAAGTGCTTTCCACCCACTTTGAAGATAGGCATGAGACTCTCCTCAGAGCCTTTACTTTCTGGAGGTTTTGTGTACATGTGATTTAGTTAGCTGCCGAAGCTCCTTTTCCCAAAACGAAAGGCTAATTGATTAGCTGCTGCTGTGACCTGCAGAGCCACCCCTGGCTGCAGACTCTCCTGTGCTGGCCACCTGCTTGTCATCTGCAGGGCTTTGGTCCTGTATGGCTTCCTGTAGGTCCCACTCTCCATCTGCCCCTGGGTCTGCTCTTGGTTCATTGTCTTCATTGCCACGGTCCAGAGGTGCAGGAAGAGCTGGAAGAGCAGCCGCAGCTGCCCTGGAAAGAGCCTCTTGAAATTCCCCGCTTGCCCTTCTCTGTGATTGGTTTTCCCACAGTGCTGTCCTTGCCCATCACTCACATTTAGAAGCCACGGTGTTGGCCGCCAGGGGCCTTTCATCGGCTTCTCCTCCTGAAGGCTGTCAGACTTCCAGCTGAGCCAAAGTGCCTGCTTTCTCCCTATTCTTGGTTTTCGTTATGGACTAGTGATTTTCCACGTGTAATTTGGGTTGCTTTGGGCACTTAGGTCTCTTCTGTACTTATTAGGAAGCCGCAGAGGTACATCTATGTTGAGCTTCCCTCTGGAGCAACCTTAGCCACACTGTTTGCCAGTCCTGTCGCCTCAGCTCTCTGTTCCCCATGTGTTTGGTGGGTATAGTATTCCTTCCCAGTTGTCCCTAAAACTGTGACGGTGGAGTCCCCACTCACTAAGCATTACCAGCCAGCTATGTGGCTTCCCCACACAAAGACCTTGTGTAGTTTATTTTGCGATGACCTATTTATTGAATCTATTTATATTTATTTAATTTTTACTCTGAAGTATATCCGGTTACAATTGCACTTGCTTAAAGCACATACGATCTGTGTGGACAATACCCCTGACCATTTTAAAACTGGAAAAGAAAAGTTACACTGTATCCTGCCACCTTTTGATAACCTTGTCTTTAAAGGGTGAATAATTTGGTCTGGGTAAAATGTTAATTTTTAGATGATTTTTAAAAAAATCTTGTGCCATGTGTCTTCTGTAGACAGTTAATTGTTTAATTGATGTGTGCTGATTGTGTGATTCACTCCTCTTTATGGAAACTAAAATATTCTTTTTAGCTTTATATTTTATAAACTGCCAGATTGTACATCTATTCTGTGTATTTTTAAAGCTCGTATTATGAGGGCCGTTATCTAAGTTGAACGGTTATTTTTGTACCTCCTGTACAGTTTTATAATTCTGCTCATTGATGAAGGTGACTTATGCTGAGCCAACCACAAATAAAGGTAGTTTTAGATTTGGGAGTTGCTTTGCTTCTTAAAGACTAGAGTCCTGCGTGAAGCAGGGAGCCGGGCCCACCATCTTCTTCCAGGGGTACAGCATCTAAGTGGCCTGAGCAGCTAGTTAAGCTGTGAGAAAATGGATCCCTGGTATCTACAACTTGGTTCCAGAGCTCGAACATCCATCCTCCTTGGGGGCTGTTGAGGAAAAGACTGTCTGGGAATGTTGCAGGAGATTTCCTGGAGTATCATTTACCTGAATTTCAGGAGGGTGGCCCATTGGAAATGACCTGCCACATATTGGGAATTAGACTCCCAGTCAGTCTGGGGTATGTGTGTGGTGAGTAGGATTCTGGACCAAGATACCTGGGAAGAGAGAGCTTGTGATTGACTCCACTAACAAAGCACTGGGGAACTGGGACAGTCTGACCAGGCACATGTTAGCAGCTCCTCACCAGACAGCTGTGCCCCAGGGATGTGCTCCTGCAGCCTAAGGTCAGTTTAGTCTCCCCAAGGCAGGACTGTTCACACAGTACTGACCCCAGGATCCCACAGGTACTGTGTGGATGCTAACCAACCGTCCCCTCCCACTTCATGCCTTAAGAGCCTAGGAGGGTCCTGAGACTTGTGATCATTTAGTACTTCAGAAGGACCCAGCCATATCTCCAGAAGATTATAGTGATACTTTATTTGCATTTTAATAAATAAAGCTTGCCTGAAAATCAGAGTGCAAAGCCAGCCACACTAGTCACCCATACATGCCAGGCAGTGGTGGTGCACACCTTTAACCCCAGCACCCATGCTAGTTAGCCATAGAGGCCAGGTGGTGGTGGTGGTGGTGCACACCTTTAACCCCAGCACCCACGCTAGTTAGCCATAGAGGCCAGGTGGTGGTGGTGCACACCTTTAACCCCAGCACCCATGCTAGTTAAGCCATAGAGGCCAGGTGGTGGTGGTGGTGCACACCTTTAACCCCAGCACCCATGCTAGTTAAGCCATAGAGGCCAGGTGGTGGTGGTGCACACCTTTAACCCCAGCACCCATGCCAGTTAAGCCATAGAGGCCAGGTGGTGGTGGTGGTGCACACCTTTAACCCCAGCACCCATGCTAGTTAAGCCATAGAGGCCAGGTGGTGGTGGTGGTGCACACCTTTAACCCCAGCACCCACACTAGTTAGCCATAGAGGCCAGGTGGTGGTGGTGGTGCACGCCTTTAACCCCAGCACTGGGAAGGAATATAAGGCGGGATGAGACAGGAACTTGCTTTCTCTTTAGTCTGAAGATTTTGTAAAGGTAAGTGCTTCCTAGTGGCTGTCTGCTTTGCTTCCCTGATCTTCCAGCTTGAACCCCAATATCTGTCTCTGGGTTTTTATTATTTGTGCGTCAGGAGACTGAGACCAGCTTCTTCCATGGTCCATAAAAACCTACTGAAGTTTAGTCCCCACAACGACACCACCGAGAGGCCTTGGGAAGAACATGGGGGCTACAGTTAGGTCACTGGGAGTGTGCCCTTAAGGGATCCGGGCTCCTCCTCTTCCTCTCTCTCTCTCTGGTCACAAAGTGAGTCGTTCTCTCTGTTGGCTCAGGGTGGGTAGAGAGGCAGCTGACAGGTGTGATGGGAGGGACACAGGTCTGTCCCCCAGAACTCTATGATCTCATTATAGTCACTCCGCTCCTACCTGCAGAAAACACCATCCTGGTCTCCACTGCATCCCAGAGTAAGAATCGGGCATGCGTTCTCTGGAAAGAGCAAAGGAGGCTGGGAAAGCCAGTGTCCAGCACTGTCCACCACGGTGATCACAGTTGGGAGATTCTCCCACCACAAGAAGAGGGTCACTGCCAGGCACAACCACATGCTAATGGCTGTGTTATCTGCAGTTATTTCCTCAGGTTCTACTCACTAATTTAAAAAAAAAAAAAGCAAACAAACCCTGTAAACCCAGTGCTTGTTGGATTTCTCCATTTTTGAACAGCCACCCCCGGCCTCTTCCTAAGAAACAGTACGTTCCCCCTTCTGGTCCCCAGTTGAGCGCACTGGTTTTATTAACCCATGAAATAGAAGTTAAGAGGGAGAGGGTCCGGGTGTAATCGGACTCTCCTTTAATCCCAGCACTCGGGAGGCAGAGGCAGGCGGATCTCTGTGAGTTTGAGGCCAGCCTGGTCTACAACCCAGAAGGATTACAAGGAGTTCAGATCTAGCTTGGTCCTCCTAGGCACCTCCTGCATGTCCCTCTGCCCTTCAGTCCTGGGTGTCTTAAAAAGAGTCCCTCGGGGAGCTGGAGAGATAGCATACTGGTTAAGAGTGTTCGATGCTCTTGCAGAGGATCTCAGTTCGGTTCCCAGCATCCTCGTGGGCTGTCTCACAATCACTTATAACTCCAGCTCCAGAGGACCTAATGCTCTCTTCTGACCTCTGTGAGCACCCGGACTCATATGCACATGCCTGCATGCAGACAAAACACGTACACGTACAATTAAAAACAAAATAGTTCATCCAACTGCCTGGTGACCCACGCCTGTAACCCCAGCCCTTGGGGGGCTGAGGCAGGATTGTCACAAGGTCTAGACCAACCTAGGCTATTCAGTGAATTTCAGGCCAGCCTTGGCTACAGAGTGAAATTCTGTCTCAAAACACATAGTTTCTCAGGGACCCATTTGCGTCCAAATGAAATGTTTGGTGCAGCCACCCTGCCCAGAGATAAGAGTAGGTGGCAGGAAGCTTACTCTCTCCACCACTAGAAGGCGCTCGTGTACTGTCTATCCTAATTCCTGCTGTGGTGGGACTGTCCAGTACGGCCACTAGGATGACCAGCCTGCGTGCTGGTCTGACTCCACACTCTGTGTGTGGGACTCCCCTGAGATGAGGCTAGGGTCCAGCCCAAAGACCATAATATGTGCACGGGAGTTTTGCCTGCATGTATGTTTGTATACCACACACATGCAGTGGCCATGGAGACCAGAAGAGGGCATCAGATCCACTGGGACTAGCTTTAACAGTTGTAAGCCAGTGGGTGCTGGATTGAACCAGGGTCCTTTGGAAGAATAGCCAGTGATCTTAGCTGCTGAGCCATGTCTCCCAAGGACCTGGCTTTCTAAAACCAACCCCTTCATTAGCTGGTAGTTGTCTAAGTAGCCCACAGCCACACGCTCTTCTCATTGTGAGTTAACATGGACCAGAATATATGTTGCCCTGTCCCTTGTAGAGCGAGGCTGATCATGGAGCTGGACATTCTCTCTGGACCCCTGCAATAGTCCAGGTACCACAGTGTCCTTGGAAACAATCTACAGAGACACAGATAAGCACGTATCCCAATACCAACTGTAACAAACTTCTTGTGTGCCTATTGTTTACAGGCCCTTGATCGATGCTTACAAATTACCTGTGCAAACCCATGATTCCAGACTGATCCACAGCCTCTTATTTGGGCTCTCAGTCCACCATGAGACTCCGGCCTTCTCTGCCCTGGCCAACAGTTTGCTCTTCTTTCTGCTGGTGGTTAGTTGGCGGTTACTGAAATTGACAGCCCTTCCTCATTCTGCTGAAACAATGTGTACACCCTTTCTACACCCAAGGGAGAAAAGGGGTCAACTCAGAATAACCAGACCATTAACAATGTGCCTTTGCTAAGCCAACAGTGACATGCATGTCCCAATTGCTCTTTACAATGTGGAATCCAAGTGTGTTTTACAGTATAGCATATGTGAAAGTGTCCCTCTGTCCTTCTGTCCCCTTGCCTCCCCCAATATGCCACCATTGCTATACACCACCAAACCAGTAGCCCCCATCCGGGACTTTAGACCTCTAAAGCTGAATATTTTTTTTTCCTAAGTTTGATTACCAGGGCTGAAGACATACCTCACTGGTTAAGAGCATTTGCCTGCTCTTCCAGAGGACCAGGGCTCAATTCCTACCCCCCACGTGGCAGCTCACAACTACCTGTAACTCTGGTTCTAGGGGATCCGATGCCGCCTTCTGGCCTCCATGGGCACCAGGCACGCATACTCTACACAGATCTATATGCATAAAATAATACAGAAATAAATTGTTACCTCAGAGGTTTTGTTGTTGACAATATGATGCTGACTGGTACAGATTTCTACCCCAATTTATGTCTACAACAGATACTGCTAAAACACTGGTCACAACAGTCCTTGGCTTGCCGGCAGTATGGCAGGACATTTTAAAGTTACTTTGATCCAGGCAGTGGTGGCACATGCCTTTACTCTCAGCACTCAGGAGGCAGAGGCAGGCAGACCTCTGTGAGTTCAAGGCCAGCCTGGTCTATAAGAGCTAGTTTCAAGACAGGCTCTAAAGCTACAGAGAAACGCTGTCTTAGAAAAAAAAAATACTTTGAAGCCAGGTTTTATGGTGCATGTCTCTAAACCCAGTACCCAAGAGACAGAGACAGGTAGATCTCTGAGTTCAGGCCAACCTGTTCTACAGAATAAGTTCCAGGGCAGCCAGCACTACACAGAGAAATCCTGTCTCCAGCGGGTAAGGAGAGGAATGCTTTGAAGAAACTGAGGCACAAATGCACTGAGAAAAACTGTACAGCCAGCAGACCATCAATCAGCATTCACGGTCGGCATTCGTCCGCGGTCTGGAAGATTCTGTGGAGTCCTGATTGCTGAACTAGAGCTCTAACCACTATGGATTGTGAAACTGGCCCATGGGAAGAAGATCCTTGATGTGTCTGGTGCCCACCCCCATGCCCAAATTTCATACTTCCTGCTTGTTAAAACAAAGCCACCTGCTAGAGTAATACTTGTTGGTTGAGGCTACAGACACGAGGCGATCTGGGATGATGGCTCTTAGTCATGAGCAGGCTTTTGTGGAGAGCAGCCAGAGAGAGGCCAGAGAAGATGGCGTTCTGTGCTACTAACTGGACAGGCACAAGTGAGGGACTCATTCCATCAAAGGCCTCAAGAACCTGCACATCAAGGGGAGTAAATAAGATTGCAGTTCTTCTGTAACTTGCACAGAGTGGCCATCTGCTACAGCAGTCCCACTTTGGGTATGTTC